GATGAATGCCGCCGGCCGGGTAAGATGCCGAACCTTGATGCAGTGTCAGCATCCGTTGGAGCGGCTGAAAATGAGCCTCAGCTGGCGTCTGTGCGCCAGCCGCACTGCGTTGAGATCTCCCGTCTTGGCATTTTAGTGACATGCTGCAACAAGAATACTGGTGAGATACGGGCTTTATTTGTTTGAGTCTCCTATAGCTCCAGGCAGTCTAAGTGATCGAGTCACTCACAGGCTTGCACTCCTCTCATGCAACGCGCGGGAGCGAAGGACAATCGGACGATAGTTAATATCGAGAATAGCTAAGCATTGAAGGTCGCTATCTATGTCCAACTTGTTAAGCTCAATGCCTCAGAAATCCCATGGGGCTCAATGAGCGATTGGAACAATGTGTCGGCTTATTGGTCTCGAAAGGGCTGCCTCGGCTGGTGGGATAATCCGTTACTCTGGATCAGGGTCCGGCAGCGATTGAGTTTCCGACCATGAATAGCAGCGAATAATGCTCATCGTTCGTAATCTAGACAGACCGTAAGCATTGTAGTCTGGACTCGCGGGTGACAAGCTTTGTGCCGTGGACACCTAAAACAATTAAGCAAAGGTTATTAGGACCTTCAGTACCGAGCTGAAAACACGATCGGGGAACCTTGAAACACAGTTCAACTTCGGCATGCAACTGGGAAAGGTATCGTCCTACTGTACGTTGTCCTGAACGAAGGCCCTTCGGAACTGGTTGCTGCTAGAGATTGAAGCTCGCATTACAACGGCATTCCCCTTGCACGTTATGCTGATTATATTTGGGAAGATCCGGGGCCATTGCAATAACGGTCATTCCCATTACTTGGCATGCAGAACTTCAGAAAAGGCCATGTCGCTTGGGCTCGGAATCTCCCGACAGGTCGGAGGTGGAGCGAAACAGTGCAAACTCTATATCACCGATGATAGCACAGTGGAAGAAAGCAAGTGACTCATTTCTTGATCAATGAAGAATACGTTCCTCTTCTCGTAGGTAAGAGCGGAAATGATTCATGTCTACTAGGTTGCAATTCGTGGCGGCGACACAACTATTCTAAGGCCTCCACATAAATCCAGGATGCTTCCAATCCATAACACGAATCTCAGCATCAGTCTTCCCGGCCAGAGCCTGACCGACCTCAATTGCAGCTCGCCTTCTGTTATCCCAAGTCATGTAAACTTGTAGCACGATGGTAAGTAAGAAGATAGATGAACACGCGCCGAGGTTGAGTCCATTGCCGATTGGATAGTTTGGTCCATCGAAGGGCAGAAAGCACCATGTCGAGATCAATCCTCCAATATTACCAAGCATGACGTTCAAACCAATTCCCGAAGCGCGCGCTGTGTCGCTGACCAAGTTGGCTGATACTTGAGCATTGGATAGAGCGCCGTTTGCGAAGGTGCCTGCACAGATGAGGAACGTCCCTGCGTAACGGACATAAGCTGAGGTGGGTGAGTTAGTGAGGTTCCCAGGACGGAGCGAGGTTTGAACTTACGATTCGTTGTGCTGAGGAACATGATGTATCCCGCGATAACTGGAAGCTGTGACAGGTTGATAAAGATGTTTCGCTTATCAATGCGAGTCGACAGGAAGCTGATGGTGACAGTACAGAAGGTACCGACGATGTAAGGCGGCACAGTACGCAATTGTTGTTGAACGACTGAGTGGTTGGGGTAGATGGTCCTCACAATCGTAGGTGCGAAGAAAGCAAGGCCCTGTACGGTGATGTTGGTGAACAGGAAGATGGTGGACGTTCCAATGGTAACAGGCGAGCTGATACCACGACGGGCCAGTTTCCAGGAGAACTTCTCGAGGACTTCGGTGGCGCCAACACGCTCAGACTTGATGCGCGCAATAGCCAGGTCCTTCTCCTCTTCTGACAACCATCGCGCAGTGCTAGGTCGATCTGTCATAGTAAAGAACGCAATGAGCGCCAGACCAATCGTACATATACCCTCAATAGCAAAGATCATTCGCCATCTCGTCAATGAACCAAAGTGATCTAGCTTCAGAATACCAGAGGCCAAAAGACCACCGAAGGCTCCCCCGAAGGAACCCATGGCGACATATATAGCCAATCGGAAGGCAAGTTCGCTGCGTCTGTACCAGCGGCTGAGGTAGTATGCGATACCGGGCAACATGCCTGCTTCGAAGATGCCGAGGATGAAGCGCACGGCACAAGCTTGGCCCATTGTGTGAACGAAAGCGGTGCCGAGGGAGGCGACGCCGAATGCTACAGATGTAGCGGGAATGAACCAGCCGGGTCCGATCCATTTGCAGACCATGTTCAGGGGGAGTTCGAAGACGATATAAGACTAGCAAGTGATATTAATGTTAAGGTATTGATTCAGTAGATAAGGGGTAGTACGTACGATGTAGAAGACGGTCAGCAACAGGTTGTAGTCATAGCCAGTGAGACCAAGGTCTTCCTCGAGACCAGCTAATCGAGCATTGCCGATATTGGCACGATCTACAAAGCACATCAAGTACAGGATAGTGACTGATGGCAGAATATACCAGTCTAGCTTACGACGGAGCTTCTTCTCAGCCTCTGCGTCGAAAGTCGCTATGGGGTTGCCATGCCTAGCAACGTCAACAGAGCTCAAACAAAAGGGCAGTCGACTTACTCATCAGTGGCAAGATGTCCTCTGGCAGCAGCATCATGAGCATCAGCATGCTCAAATTCTTTGCTCCAAGGCTCCTTTCCATTGCCCCTCTCGGCGTCAGAATCTCTCGCAGTCATGATGTATAGATTCGCAAATGTCCTGGAGATGACTGTGATAAAAAGAACACCTGTCGATCAGGGAGAAGAGAGCCGTTTAATACTGGCTCTAGTAAGCACGATGTCCGATCTCGAGCGTGCCGAGAATGCCAAGAGTGAGGGGGAGTCGATAGTGCATCGGATGACGGACCCAACAGTGTCGGATACCGGGTCGAGCTATCATTCTGGACGAAAGGAGTAATTAGTGACAGTCCAAGGAGGGAATTGGCCAGTAGGAATCGTTCTGTTTGCCATGGGTGGTAAAAGATAAGCTTAATGATGGGGGTAGAATCTGGGGACTCAGAGTGTGGGGGAGACCCGCTGGCGGCTATGGGATCATCACCGTCGTTGCATTCGAGGGGGTATATCCGGTGATTGACCTTGTCGCTCAAATAGCCTGTCGTATGTCGTTTTTTATCTAATAAATGTCTCACATTTTCTCTATATTACCATGAGATACGAAGATTGTATGATTCCACCGTGGTCATATCTGCTCGGCACCCACAGTCGAGGCTCTCCAAGTTTCTAGAGATAGACACTAGGTTCCGAAAACCATGGAGACATTAGACATGATCGAGCCTGTCATAGTCCGGCAAATTACATGCTTCAGCGATACAGTATGGATAGTAATCATCGATTGTGCCAATGAGTGATTATCGGTCAATGTGTTTTCTGACGTGTTCCGTCGCTCCACATGATGAGACGCGTCAGTTTGCCTTGTGCATCACCATTTTTGGGCACGTTATAAGGTAGGCCATAGGGCGCTCTCAGTGCTGAATGCAATGGCTTGTGGTCTAGTCTCCCATCCTCCAAGTTCAAATCCGCGGGCTTCTATTACAACGCGATCATATCCTTGATGATGCCGATGCCGATCAACCAAACCGCGTCTGCCACGCGTTGAACTAATCTTGTTGTGACGCCTTCTGAGTGCAAATCATTCGAGTCACTCTTCAACACATATTTACGTTCTATAAATCTCCTATTCTACCAGATCGACAGACAGCTTAGCGTAGATCCATTGCTTTTTTGTAAATGCTGACAACTCATCGCGTCGCGTTGATAAGGAGGATAGAATTCGCATGACTCGGCAATCCACCCAACACTTCCTGTTTACAATAGAATGATTTCGATGTACTTTTGCGCGTGACTAGACTTGACATGGCTTCATCCAGATACTTAGGCGGCTATGACCTTGTGTTGGAAAGATAACCTACAAGCGTCTGAGCGTCGAACTCACGCACCGCTCTCGTACGTGGTTGTTCTTTTCTTGAATTGCTCTGCTTTAAGTCTTCCTATCATTCCCGCGTATTTTTTGAGCAAATTATCTATCAACTTGGCAAGAGAGTATTAACTATACTAATACTCCAATGGTAGGCTCCAAGCAATCTCAAGATAGCCTCATTATGCAATATAAATTGTACACAAATTCAATGGTGCAGGGTAATCAAACTCCCTATGTCAGAATTGGAGAAATCTAGAACTTGATAGCGTACGTACCAATACCCCAAGCGCGCACTAAATCAAGGCGCTATTGAAGTACCCATACTTGCTCCTCCAAGTTTTCGTGACCCACTGGAATGGGGGACACGCGACAGCTAGAAATTTTACGCGGGGCCCCAGGTTCTGACGAACCGTGGGTGCGTTATGTAGGTAGCCTAACCCGGTCGCCAGCGCAAAGGACCCCCCTTTTGGGTAAATACATGACCAATGCCAACTTGGATGTCCACTTGGACTGTTTTGAATGTGGTTGCAGTTGGAGATGTCTCGTGTTTGCAAGACTTGATGGAGGTGATGATGTTGGAGTAGTATAGTGGTGACCAGGCGTTGATTGAAGTTGTAGCGCTCATCAATTGCAGTCGCCGCGACGCAATATAGAAGCGCCTGTCAAGGATCAAAGTGTGAAGTCTATTGTACGTGCTGCAATAAACTTGTCATTTCAAGGACGTCTCTGGTGATTATCTCCAATTGAAGATGAAGATGTCATCACCCCAATTCTCTCGAGCCTCCGGCACTCGCTCGCCGGTGGTGGTCAGACCAAAAACCACACCATTCCCAAACGAGGGGTCTTAGCCTACCACTTTGTCACCCTCAACGTCGTAAACTCCAGAAAATTAGATCCCCCAGTCAAATTGCCTGGGGTACGAAAATGTTTAAAAGACACAGACTTTCTCCCCATACCCCAGATTTCATCACATCAACCTCCCCCCACAGCTTCGTCCTCACTTCACCATGTCTACCTCGGACGGTCCTGATACCTTGGAGCCTACAGCTCCCAAGAAGACTATCTGGAAGTCTATTCGGGAGAACCCCAAGGTCGTCTTCATCGCCTTTTTCGCTTCGTAAGTGTTGCCTTCGTATAAGTTTATAAGCGACTTATTGACTGGTGGTAGACTGGGTGGTTTTGAGTATGGTTACCAACAGGGTGTCTTGGGTCAATCCCTCGTCATGACCCGCTTCACACAAAACTTCCCCTCTGTTGTTGAGTCATCCTCTGCAACAGGATGGCTCACGTCTATCCTCCAGCTAGGCGGTATTCTTGGATCACTATCAGCTGGTGTTTCCAGCGAAATTATCTCGCGAAAGTACACCATGTTCATCGCCTGCTTATGGGTCGTCCTCGGCAGTTATCTTTACGTCGGTGCCACTGCCGGAAATCCCCAGCTTCTCTATGCTGGCCGATTCTTGACTGGTGTCGGCGTTGGTCTTTTCAGCGGTGTTGGACCTCTCTACAACGCTGAGCTTTCTTCGCCTGAGATGCGAGGTCTTCTTGTGTCGTTCTATCAACTTGCGACTATTTTGGGCATTATGCTTTCGTTCTGGTGCGGTTATGGAAGTAACTACATCGGCGGAACAGGGGACTCTCAGTCCGACCTCGCCTGGCGTCTTCCCTCTATCATCCAGGGAATCCCCGCTGCTATGCTCGCTGTCGGTATCTGGTTCATGCCCTTCTCTCCCCGATGGCTCGTCAAGGTTGGCCGCGACGAGGAAGCCAAGTCTATTCTTGCCTGGATGCGAAAGCTCCCCATCGACGATGACGCTGTTCAGGTTGAGTATCTCGAGATCAAGGCTGAGGCAGTCTTTGAGCAGAAGGTTTTCGCTAGAGACTTTCCTCACCTCGCTGAGAGGAACAAGAGCCGTTTCATGCAGCAGATTGCTCAATATGTGACCTGCTTCCGATCAATGGATAACCTCAAGCGTGTCTGCACTGCTTGGCTTATCATGTTCTTCCAGCAGTGGTCTGGTATTGATGCTATCATCTACTACGCTTCCAACGTTTTCATCAGCCTCGGTCTTACTGGAGGAACTATTGCTCTTCTTGCTACTGGTGTTACTGGCGTTGTCTTCCTCATCAGCACCATTCCTTCTATGGTAAGTCGCTCAACTACTCGATGCCCTGAACGAGTGCTAACATTACCTTTCACAGTTGATCATTGATCGCGTTGGTCGCAAGCCTCTTCTGTTGATCGGCTCCGTTGTCATGGGTGCCAGTATGATCACTGTCGGTATCATCGTCGCCAAGTTCCGCCACGACTGGCCCAACCACGTCGCTGCTGGCTGGACTGCAGTTGGTAAGTCAATGCTTCGTCTACCAACCTTTAATCATCACTGACATCATATCAGCTCTCATCTGGGTCTATATCGCTGGCTTCGGTGCAACATGGGGTCCCGTCTCCTGGACCCTCGTCTCCGAGATCTTTCCCCTCTCCATCCGCGCCAAGGGAGCTTCCATTGGTGCCTCAAGCAACTGGGTCAACAACTTTGCCATCGCCTTCTTTGTTCCTCCCATGCTCGAGTCTTGGGAGTGGGGAACCTACATCTTCTTCGCCGTCTTCCTCTTTGTCGGTATTCTCTGGGTCTGGTTCTTTTTGCCTGAGACCAAGAACGCTTCTCTTGAGGAGATGGACCGCGTCTTCAAGAGCCGTGCTGGTGAACAGGATGCTGAGTTGCTTCGTGAGGCTCAGGCCGAAGTTGGACTTATGGGTTCTGCAGCGGGCCGCAAGGCTTCTTTTGAGAAGGAGGGTGAGAAGCATGTTGAGGCTCTGTGAAGGGGCGATGGCCCGTGGTGATAGGATAGTCTGGATTGGGGATGAGATGCTTATGGCGATGATGAGGTTGTAATGTTAGATACCACGCTATGCATAATGATCATTTTGTATATTTCTCAATCTCTTCGCCTTTATCAATTTGCTTGATAATTACTAATTAATGAAGTATAGTCTAATGCACATATACAACATGGGCATCCAATCAAGACTCATCTCAACGCCAAGACAATCACGGAAGATAATCTATAGTGCTGGCACTAGCCAAATCTGTATTTATCGTACATAGTAATCGTATATACGCAAAGATAATCTCTTGCAAGGTTTCTGCCATCTCGTCGCAGAACGAACGGACGCTGACTGGCAGCTGGGGTGAGAATATGACAATGACATCATCCAAGATTGACGAATGCCACAACAGCTTGTAAGTGATCTAACAACACATGTCAGAACACTTCAATCACAATATGAGAGTATAAATTTTGTACCGAAAGACTCTGCCTCTACAGAAGTCAGACAGAACGGCCGGCGAAGTGCGTGCTGAAATGGCATGTTTACGTGAGCGGGCCCAATCGCCACTATTAGCATACGAACAATCTGATTTAAAGTCACAGGCTCGCGCGGGGAACTTTGTCGCAGTCTGTGCTTTCTGGGGCAATTCAATCCCAAATTGAAGGTCAAGTTACCTAGAAAATGGAGCCTTTGCTTCCTCCGGCTGTTACGTTACCGAGTCATGGCATCAGGATCGCGTCGCCTATGACCCCCGAATGCGGCTTAGTCCACTAGCACCGAAACTTTCAAGAACTTCATGATTGGCCAATTGCAATTCCAATTGGTGAGTGGTCGCCTTAGAATGGACCCCTCGGGGATCACCGGCTTCTGGAAAATTACCTTGTTTCTGTCACACTTGACCCATGAATTGAGTGAGCAGGAGGAGGCTACAATTCCGCTTTGGGACCGTATTTGCACTCATCATCACATTCTTCCTTGATGTCGCTCAAGTTGTGCCTTGTATAGGCGATCAACCTAGCTCTCCAGACTCCACTCATCATCTCACAATGGCCTTCTTCCCATCAGAAGACTTCTCCCTCGATCCCCGCTTCATCGAGCTCCAAGAAGAGCTCCGCACAGTCCTTTTCGCGGGTCTGTCTGGCCTATCACCCAGCGCATCAGTCACACCCGAAGCAGACTCGTCATCACCACCAACATCATCCCTCAACCTCTCCAGCGTAACAGTCAATGTCCCTAATGATAGATTAATATGCTATCTTCAGAACTGGGTTACAGAATGTGCGCCATACCTGGACAAGTTTGATGAGGATAAGCATTTCCAGATCCACGTTCCGCTTATGGCGCAAAAGAGCCCGGCGCTGTTATATGCCATGCTTGCGTTTTCATCACGCCAGATGGAACGGAGAGGATTGACGCAGGAAGGTGGTTGTGATAGTCTTGAGTTGTATCAGGAGAGCATTAGGCTTTTGAGTCCTGGATTACAAGCCAAGGACCCTAATATGCTTGTTACGGCCTGCATTCTTGCAGTTTTTGAACTCATGTCTGGCGGTTCCAAGAATTGGAAGCGTCATGTCGAGGGCTGCGCGTCGCTGTTTGAGTTCTTTGGAGTTGATGGTTTCTCCGGTGGCCTACCGCAAGCTGTCTTCTGGTGCTATGCGAGGATGGAGTTGTGTGGAGCAATTATATCTGATGGCACAGAAACAGCTGTTCTTCCTCTGTCAAAATGGGCTCCATCACCACCCGAGTCGTTGGTATCATCTGAACAAGCCGAGCGATATGTGCGGGACATGTTTCATCGAAGGAGCCGAGACTGTCCAGACATGCAGGCTAACTGGGCTATTTATCTCTGCACAAAAGTCTGCGATCTTAAATTTCGAAGAACACAGAGTCTAGAACTCGGGAGGATAGACGTTCAAGATGACAGACCGTTTCAAGAACAATGGCAACAGCTCTGGAACGAGCTCCAATACTGGCTTGACGAGCGCCCGGCAACAATGAAGCAAATCAGTATGGTCGAAGCAGGCGACAAACAGATATTTCCAGCCATGCTCTTCCCCCACTGGGCAGCTATCTCGAGTAATCAGATCTATCACACTGCATGTATTCTCATGCTGGAAATGCGTCATGACTTAGACTCTCAGTGCTTGGCGCTGTGGCATGCACGACAAGTCTGTGGAATCTCCTGCGCAAACCTTCATCCCGGAAGTCTTGTAAACTCTATACAGCCACTCTATATAGCTGGGAAGCTCTTTTCACATGTTAACGAGAGAAAGCAGATTGCCAGGTTGTTAAAGAGCATTGATAGGACGACGGGATGGGGAGCTTTGTGGAGGTTGACGGATCTTGAGGCTGAATGGGGCTACGACGTTGGCGCGCTGCTAAAGACGCTGTAAGGACTTGCGACAGGGATTTTAGCGAACAAGAGACCCAGAGAACTGGTAACATATCATAATAATAAGCATGATTCCACTAGACCCCGTTCACATGCTTCTTGATCGACTATCCGCCATCGCATAACACACCCATTTTCAGGATAGCGTGCCCAGGACGAGTGGAGTCCATCGCCAACACTCAGCAGCCATGCACTGCCCGTATAAAGGTTTCCGTCTTTTAGAATATCCCTGCTCCGTTTTTCATTACCTACAAACATTTATATTCTCTAAATAAACGCCATGGAGTCACCAAGACCAGTCATCAGTGTCCTCGGATCACTGAACATCGACCTCGTATCATATGTCCCTCATCATCCGCTACCCGGTGAGACAATAACTTCAAGCCAGTTCAATGTCTTCCCCGGAGGAAAGGGCGCCAACCAAGCTGTTGCTTGTGCCAAGCTTTCAAGGACTTCTGATCTGAAGAACCCAAGCGTTGATGTTGCCATGATCGGTGCCGTAGGAGCTGATGCTTATGGTTCCGTACTCCTTGACAGTCTAAAGTCATATGATGTTGGAACAAACTCTATCATCGTGAACAGGGACGGGGGAGCCGGATCCCAGAGTGGAATTGCTATGATCATCGTCGATGAACCAACTGGCCAGAACCGCATCATCTTATCACCGGGTGCCAACAATTCTCTGCAACCAAGCCATTTCGCTGAGATCCCTGGCCCAACGCCATCATTGCTCATCATGCAGCTTGAGATCCCTCTGGAGACAGTCATCCAGGCGTTCAAAGCCGCCAAGACGACAGGAACTCCCGTTCTGCTCAACCCTGCCCCCGCTCAAGTACTCCCAGCGGAGATTTACCAAGATCTAGCTCACTTGATCCTCAACGAGACCGAAGCGGCTTTGTTGTCAAACAAGGACGAGTCTGAGTTTGAAAACATCTCAGTTGTCGAAAAGGCCGCTGCTGATTTCCTGGCTCGAGGCGTGCGGAACGTTGTGATTACTCTGGGTGGGAAAGGTGCATACTATGCCAGCGACAAAGGTGCCAAGGGCCTCATCCCAGCTCTGAAGGTTGAGGTCGTGGACACGACTGCTGCTGGTGACACATTCATTGGTGCTTATGCAGTTGAGCTTGCGGGTGCTGAGCAAAGGTCGGAGCAGTTCGACATTGAGAAGGCCGTCAGGTCAGGTATCTGGGCGTCATCGAAGACAGTCGTGCGAAGGGGAGCGCAAGTATCTATACCATGGAAGGATGAATTAGAATCAACGAAGTAACGGAAAATAATTTATTACGATTCTCATGGTCCTATCTTGTCCGGTTCGCTCTCATAATCAGGGGTGCGCATTTGTCGGTGCGCTGGTATTCCGAGAAGAAGACCAAAATTGCTGCAGATCCGCAATCTCACTCTGTAGAGGGATCTTTGTCGCATCCCCAATTCGCTGAAAACAGGAGAGTAATGCCTCCTGCTGGGACGGATATGTCATATCTCTCGCTATACGGACAACAGTTGCGACCACGACAGGGTCCCATTGATCAGAAAAGTTATTCCACAGAGCAAGTTTGGCGAGTTTTTGAGCATGCCAGCTTCTTGAGGCTAAGCGATGCGGTATCGATGATAATTTGACTAAGCGTGGTTTATATGAAAGCAGTATAAGGGCTGAAAAATGAATCGCTAGGTTTGCTTGAACCGCAATGGCGCTTGAATAGACGTCTGCTGTAAATGGGGTATTGGTGGAAGCTGCGTGGTCAACTTCAGGGCTTTCCAGTAAGGGAATCATGTCGGGAGGACGATCTCGAAACCATTGTACGCAGCGTGCCCATAGTTTGGACCATGTTGCCCATACAAGCGAGTAAGAATCGTGAGTTGGTGATTGCACGGTTGCGATCCCGTTGAAGAGAGGGATGATTTCGTTGTGGATCAAGTGGCAGCATGCCGCGAGATGTGTCAGACAGTCGTCGTAAATGCTCGGCGGTGTCAGGGCGGAGGTTAAGAATGTGTCGTTTATTAGTGGTAGAGACTGGAGTGACGGGGATTTGGTGGTAATAATGGAAGCAGCAAGCTCTGTTGGCCAAGGTTAGCTCGTCTCTGACAAGACATGGAATCGAACATAATACCTGTCTTGAAGTGAAAGCGATCTAGCGTCTTGAGAGGCTCCTCCTGACTCTCAAAGAACTGACATCGCTCTTTCACATCAACGCAATCAGAGTGCAGATTTGACCACTCAGACGGGCCAGTATAAAAGAAGTTGCCGAGAGCAAGTAGTGACCGTCCGATATTAGCGATGAAAGCATCCTCCAGGGATAACCGATGCTGGAACTGCTGGACCAGGTAAGCATCGCCTTCATGGCTGGTGGAGCTCGAACTCCTCCTACTGCGGCGCATCGCAACCCATATGATGATATCCATTATGGCAGACTTCTCTGCTGCTAATGTCATGATCTTTGGTCCAAAGGTGGATCTGGGTGCATTTGAGTCTAGCCAGGGGACTATCTGATAGCGAAAGCGAAGCATTGCTGTTTGTCTCTCTGACGAGTTCTGCTCTGATAGAACTGTTTCGTTCCATCTTGACGGCGTGGGTATTTGGTTACCATCGTGTTGGTGATGATTATTGGTCAAAGGGATTGGTTGAGGAACGTCCGTAGTCGTGTTGTGAATAGATTCAAGTCTTTCTGTCCGAGCAGTACTGGCTATGGGGCTCTCAAAAGCTGGCTCGGGGGGAGCAGGACTCGACTCGACAAAGGACAACAAACTATCTTGAATGGGCTGAAGGCAGTGTTAGTGCTAGATCGACTGACTCGTGGACGATAATGAACTGACCAGAGATGGATCAGCATCATCGCGGTTGTCCCCTTGCACGCTACCATCTTTCCGCAGTGATGAGCGAACCCCTGGTACAAAGGTCCACTCTTTGAACTCGCACGTCACATTCCTCCCGATACAACTGCCGCATTGAGGTCTTTGTTCATCACCTTGTGTCCAAATGTTAGACAAAGTCACCGGGGGAGACGCGACTGACTAACATTTTCTTCGACGTCTTCGACAGGGGATACAGCCTGTGCGGGACCGTCTTTTGTTATCGGGTATTCGTCTTACGACTGGCATTGCGATAAGGTACGGTACGCACACGTATTTGACGAGGAAAAGATGGAGCGATGGGAAAAGAGGAGTCTTGAGGGCGGTGGAGATGGGCAGAAGCTAAACTTTATTCCTTGGGGCCAACAATTCAATCAACACGAACAAACATCGGACTTTGAGATATCATGTCTGATTCCCATATTAAAGGACATTCAGGGGAATAAACAAAGGAAGCCATGAGAAGGGTTCATGATCTATTTCTTGGCTGACGAAATGGCATGCAACTGCCAACGGCACATTCCCAGACCATGATACTAGACCAGAACAGGAAAGGTTCTCGAAATCCCGCGTAAGCGGGGTTATCAATACTGTACATCCTCTGTATAACTGAGCCTAAGCCTTGAATATGAATCAAGATGGTCATGGCTACCACAAAGAAGCAGTAGTGAACTCACATAAAACTCATCAGCTCTCAATTTGCAGTCAGGTCATCATCACTGGAGCGGCTCCAAAGTCCAGAGCACAACATCACTGGGCGAGAATTTACTGGGTCTAATTAATGAACTGAATCACAGGGAAGCCGTTGATGAGCATCTCACTAATACCATAGCATAAACCGTTAGATTCAAGACGCGGCAAGAAACCAATAATCTAACATTTTGAGGCCAATTTTCTTGCGCTGTAGTGTTGCAACCATGATCGTTTGGCTTGAGTCTTGCCTGGGGACGGCGTGGTCAAAGAGCGACGCCATCGTGAAAAAGCAATCTCAGCCCCAGAAGCCTGGACCACCGACTATAGATGCGGCTGAGAATACTCAAGTCATCATTGGTCTTTGATACACGGGTTTAATGCGAGGCGCTTCTAGGCTGCATGAGAATGTCACACCTCCGCAATAAAACGGCCCAAATATCATGAGGAGGAAGGAGACGTTATATATACACCTGGGAGACCGATCAGATTAAACCGATACGAGATTGAAATAACTCTCTTCTGTTTATATCACGATGAAGCTGCAGCTCTTACTCTTCGTCCTCTTTGCATCTGTTGCACAAGCCCAGTGGAAAGGTTGTTCTAGTCCCTGGCCCAACATAACCCCCGGCAAACAATTCACCCTCAAGGATAAATGTCGCACCCTAGCAGGCTATCCAAAGACATTTGAAAAGGCCAATACACAAGTCACCGTGGCGTATACGCAGCAATGGAGCCGTCTACCCAGCAAGACCAAAGCAGCCGTAACCCCAATTCTCAAAGAATCTCTCGAGAAAAGCTTGGAGGTCTACCGCAAATTCGTAAAACTTCCATCGAGCATTGTCGTCATCCTCACAACAGAAAGCGACGAAGAGTTTACGGCCGAGACTTACTATCCTAATCTTAGGAAGCCACCGTGTCAGATCAAGTTGTTCAAGAGATGGACTACTGAAGCAACGACTAATAAACCTCGAGTTCTACAGGCCCTTGCGCATGAGATTTATCACTGCGTACAAAGTCTTGGAAAACTTGGGAATCATCCTGATCCGCAGTGGGTTCGTGAGGGCTCTGCGAATTATTTCAGTAACCTCGTCTTTCCTGACTCCAACGCCGAATGGCCTGATAAGAAGCATACCGGCGTCGCGTATAAGCCAAACCTGCCAATCTATGCACATGTTGGTTTAGAAGCCTACGCGGCTAGCATCTTTTTCCAAGCGCAAGATAAGATGGATGAGGATGATTTGAACAAGTTTGTTCTGGCGACGCCTGGAGGAACAAGCGGGCTTGAAGAACGAGCTCGTCTATCGCATCTATCAGGATTTACTGACGAATTTTTCACTTTCGCGAAAACTTTCGCACTACAGCAGATCAAAGACACCAATGGAGATGTCATTCCGATCGACAAGATTAACCCCGTTTCTGCGTCAATCCATTTCGACAAAGCGGGCACTACCGGCACCGCAACGCTCACAAGCACGCCGTTCACTATTTCGGTATTCAAGATTACTATTGACCCCGGGAGGACGGCAAAGATTTACTCATCGGCGAATGCTAACCAGAAGCTTGCTTACCGAAAGTCAGACGCCAGATCGTGGACCGACATGGCCGCCGATTCCTCTTCTGGACGCACTATTGATCTTCCATGCAATCAGAAAAACACTAAACAAACCCTCATCGTTTTGTTCATCTCAACGAAGGATGTGAAGAGTGACAAAGTCAAAATCACGGTTGCGACGGGTAAGCCGAGAGAGTGCGGCGCAAGAAGCGGCTTCGTTCTGTATCCTCTATTCAATCCTACGACTAGCGGCGGGTACTGTCCCAAGGGAACGCATTCTTCCAGGCTAGCAATTTGGTGTTGTCCAGATGGAACACAGTTGGATGAACATGTAGCGCAGCAAGTCAGCATCTGCTGTCCAACAGGTCAGTCTCGTGTTGTAAATGTTGCTACGCTGGTAGGCTAATGGTCAAAGATGCGGATTGCAGCAATGAAATCGTCCCGAATCATCTTAGATGCGCTAAGCCTGAGTGGATACTCTGGAACAAGCAGAACAGAGAAGTCGGATGCTGCCAAGTTGGATTTTACCCTACAGCAAACAGATATTGCACCACGGATCCTGCGGCATGGGATAGACGCTTTGTACAGGTATTCACATGCTTTCACTAAATACTACAAGAGTTTACTAACGGCAAGATCGGCAGATTTCACAGAGTAGTTAGTCAAGCTTCATCGAGATCAAAACACAGATTTCCATCAACAATGGGGATTTTGAGCATATTCACTTCCGCTTCATCGTATTTGCGGTATTTCATGGATAAATTCATAGCAATAGGGTAGCCTGAAAACTCAAAATTGAACTTGTCGCATTGCTTAGCCTACCACGGCGTAAGTGATGTTCGTCCCAAGCCATATTCGGATCTAGTCAAGCTGCAAAAACCTCAGTGTCTGGAACCCTCCAAACGCGAGCCCTCGGATAAAGATACAAACCGGCGGGTGCAAAGTCCTCACCGAGGATCGCTTAGCAAGCATTGTGGTTTGCCTGCCGTTGAACATGGCATTCTGGTATGCGCGTTACTACTTCGCTGCGTTTGGACTGGCCAAAGACTATATTGTGATGGGATGCACCATTGGACGGCTCGTATTACTACTGAACTCAAAACGTTGATATCTCTACTCGTGGTTGCAACATGGCATGACTCTGCCTGTATGACTACGCTTTCGATAAGGCTGGACCAGATACAATTGAAAGATCGGGAACATGTATCGGACTGTCTCATCCGGTTCGCTCTATACCGCATCGCGAGCGTTTTGCCGAGTCAAACAATAGAACGCCCGTCTTACGAGGCGCATCTTAAAGCCGCATCATGCAAGGGCGAGGCTTGACGAACTGTTATGCTTAATCGATAGCTGCCAAAGCTGCATGCAGCTCGATGGCTAGTTCCAGGCCAGCAATCACATCTTCCCTCACGCCATAGCTCAAGCTCTAAGACACGCAAGCATGGGCTTTGGGGAATAGTGTAGCAAAATGGCGCAGCTGAGGGAGAAAAAGAGCATTGTCTGATAGCCCGAAGTGGGAAAGGTCGTACGAGCACGTTGTTGACTCTCTGCCACGTTTGTGTGTAGGTTACGGGGCTAAATGTGTTGGTTGAGTCGCGCAACTTTGTTTGGTGATAGTGTTATCGGTAATAAGCAGAGTCGAGACGGCGAGACTCCAAAGATTGTCTGTTTTGGTGATAACTGACTGTGATAGTGACAGGACTACCTGGGGCTAGGCTCTCCATTAATACGAGCCGCTCTGTGAATGGCTTGCGCTATGGACGAATACGTAACTAGATCCGAGGCGAGCCAATAGGTGATGAGAAAAGAGGGTCGCGATGCCGCCTAGCCCGAGTTTTACATACCAGAGCGACAAGGCACGACATACCGACCCTGGCTCCTGTAATGGGCAGTGACAGCCGAGAGCTCTGCAGAATGTCATTGGAACACGGGGAACCCTGCTCGACTGGACCATGATTTGCGTCTGGATGTTTGCAGATCAGCGAGTGACTAAAAAGCTTGTCTGGGTGATCATCCGGCGTTGGAAAGTAAATTCGTTTATCTGGCCATGACGGTCCATTGAATCGCGGCCTCCGCAAAAACATCAGTGGAGATGATTCCAGTGGTACGGAAATTACAGATAGTGACTTGTTATTGCATGCGATTGAGGTTACAGAATGATGGCGATGTCGAGATATGGCGGCTTGATGGAGATAAGCCCAGATTCAAGCCTCTCGGCGAAACAGCACACGGGTGAGAGACATCGCTTAGCCTTTGCTCCGTCAACAGAAGATGAACAAGTAGTGAATGGTTTTGTAATACGTGCAGAAAGACATCTAGACCGAACGCCACAAGGAGGAGCCGCACAGTTGCCAAGGTGTCTCTGCAGCGGGAGCCCGGGTAGTCGGGTTTCTCAACAGTGCTTCTGCCAAGAAAACTAGATCCGCGTGGCTCTGCAAGGGGCAAAGACTCGTTCTGTGTTAAGAATGGAAAGGATCAGCCTGGAATGTAAAGGGACCTGCGTCTTTCCCGGCCTGTGGCGCCGCGGGTAGGCCCGTTTTGCATGCCGTTATTGGAATGGTGTCCTCTGTCTCGGTTCAGCTCTCCGATCTAGACCGTGCCTCTCGAGACAGGGGACTTGAGTCACTGGAAGAAGACCTCAATTCACCATTTCCTTGGTTATTTCGATCTAGGAGAATTATTCCGACAATTGATTCAGATGGTAATTGATTGCAACGGGAATAGCCATTCTCTGCCTTGTTTTTCTATCTCCATATCATGTCACTGCCAGTATCATCCTGTAACCGTTTACAGTCCCTCTACCAATGAGTCCCAGTCTCCTGGTACTCTTATCACTCATAATTCCATATGCGGAAAGCTGAAAATAGAAATTGAGTTCACACAACAGTCCATACCTTTTTTAGCCTTGGTCCCTGGAAGGGTCTTCTTGTGGCTAGAATGAGGCTCGAATAGCACATTGAGTTTATACTGAATATCTCGACTAAACAAACTTTCAACCCAGACGGATTAGGAAACACGCCAACTTGAAGATATCGGCCATCGGCCAAGATGAAGAGCAACAGTTATTATAAAAAACCCTCATAGATCAGACCAGAATTCGATTTATTCTCATCAGCAATCTCACAGTCTACTACATTCATCGAGAGTAGTATATTCGCTACATTGTCTTTTTCGCAATGCATTTCATTAAGGCTATTGTCTGGGGTATATCCCTTGCTGCTGTCAACGCGGCTGCTTTGCCCGCAGATGGATCTGGTGTTTCGACCTGCGAGTACTCCGGCGGCGACCGAGCCTGTGAAGCTCATGTGAGAACAATGCCTCATCGACCTGGTATCAATATGGGCTAACGATTTCAACAGTGCATCGAGAAGGGTAAAACCTTTGTATCCTGTGCACCGTGAGTATTCAGCTGAGTCAGCTGTGAGATGTAGCTAACATTTGATAGTGAGTGCACATGCTCCGGCCGCTTGGGCAATCCTTTGAGACGCCTCCTCAAGAGGAAGACTACATCGTCTGCCAAGCCTACCACTGTCAAGGTCCAGGCTACTACATCCAAGAAGGCCACTACCACTTCTAAGCCTGCTACAACATCCAAGAAGCCTACCACTACATCCAAGCCTGCCACTACCTCTAAGAAGCCTACTACCACCTCGAAGCCGGCAACCACTAGCAAGAAGCCCACCACTACTTCCAAGCCGGCAACCACTAGCAAGAAGCCCACCACTACTTCAAAGCCAGCCACTACCTCCAAGCCGGCTACAACTTCTAAGAAGCCAACGACCACGTCTAAGCCTGCTACAACTTCCAAGCCTGTGACTACTTCCAAGAAGCCCACTACTACTTCGAAGCCTGCCACTACCTCTAAGCCTGTCACCACTTCCAAGAAGCCAACGACCACGTCTAAGCCTGCTACTACTTCCAAGCCAGCTACCACTTCCAAGCCGGCTACTACCTCGAAGCCTGCCACTACCTCAAAGCCCCCCACTACAACTTCCAAGCCCCCCACTACAACCTCAAAGCCTACTACAACCTCCAAGGCTGCGACTACCACTTCCAAGGCTGCAACAACAACCTCCAAGGCTTCATCAAGCTCATCCTCCTCCAGTACCAGCTCCAAGGCTTCAACTTCTACTAGTGCCCCTGCCTCCACTAGCAAGGCTTCCACCTCCACCAGTGCTCCCGCTTCTACAAGCAAGGCTTCAACCAGTACAAGCTCAGCTGCAGCTTCTACTAGCTCTTCTGCCTCTACCTCTACTGCTGCTTCCACCTCCTCTGCCGCTGTCTCATCTTCTTCTTCTGCTGCTGCCGCTTCCACCTCATCCTCCGCTGCAGTCTCATCTTCCTCTGCTGCCTCATCCAGTGCTGCATCCAGCCAGGCCACTGGTGCCCCTGCTGGCGGTGTCACAACCTCCACTTTCGATGATGATGAGTCTACTACTAGCACTCCTGCCAGCCAGTCCTCCAGTGCTGCAGCTTCTTCAAGCACTGCTGTTACTTCTGATGAGTCTGACGACGAGACCACCACTGCTGTCTCCTCTACTTCTGCTGGCCAGTCTTCTTCCACCGCCGCTGTTGATGATGAGACCACCTCAACTTCTGCTGCTGCTGGATCTACTACTACTGAGGCCGATGAGGACACCACTACTTCCGCTGCTGACGAAGAGACCAGCACCTCTGCCGCCGCTACCTCTACCACTGAGGAGGCTGATGAGACCAGCACCTCAGCTACTGCCGCCGGCACTACCACTGAGGCTGATGATGAGACCACCTCTTCATCTGCTGCTGTTGGAGCTACTACTACTACTTCCGCTGCCGACGAAGAGAACACTACCTCTTCCGCTGGTGCTACTACTACTGATGTCGACGAGGAGACATCTACTTCCGCTGCTGGAGCTGGTACTACCACCACTGAGGCTGATGAGGAGACTAGCACTTCTGCTGCTGCTTCCACTACCGATGTCGATGAGGAGACCTCTACTTCTGCCGCCGCTGCTAGCACCACTGATGAGGCTGATGAGACTACCACTTCTGCTGCTGATGAGGAGACTACTACATCCTCTGCTGGTGCTTCTACCACTGATGCTGATGAGGAAACCAGCACTTCGGCTGCTGCTGTCACCACCACTTCTGATGCTGACGAAGAGACCACTTCATCTGACGCTGGTACTTCCACCTCAATTGCTGATGATGAGACATCCAGCACTACTACTTTCATCACCCTGACCCGCACTACCAGCACTGCCGATGAGGAGTCATCCACTGCTACCTCTGAAGATCTCACCGGTGCCCCGGCTGGAATCTCAACTACCTCTTCTGCCGTTGACGAGGAGTCTACCAGCGAGGCTGCTACCACTTCGTCTGTCGCTGATGAGGAGTCATCCACTCAGGCCGCTTCTTCTACATCTGTTGCTGATGATGAGACCTCCTCCAGCCAAGCTGCTTCGTCTACCACTGCTGCCGATGAGGAGTCTACTAGCCAGGCTGCTGCTGCCACCACATCTTCATCTGCTGATGAGTCCACTAGCCAGGCTGCTTCATCCACTTCGGTCGCTGATGATGAGACTTCTTCCAGCCAGGCTGCCTCTTCTACTACCGTTGCTGACGACGAGACTACCAGCCAAGCTGCTGCTGCCACCACATCTTCATCTGCTGATGAGTCCACTAGCCAGGCTGCTTCATCCACTTCTGTTGCCGATAAAGAGACTACCTCTGCTGCCGCTTCGACCTCGTCTTCTGCTGCCGATGAGTCTACCAGCCAAGCCGCCTCTAGCACATCTGTTGCCGAGTCCACTAGCTCTGCTGGTGCCTCGACTTCATCGACCGCTGATGAGGAGTCCACCAGCCAGGCTGCTTCCAGCACCTCTGCAGCCGATGAGACTACTACTTCTGCTGCTGCGACAACCTCATCAGCTGCCGATGAGACATCTAGCCAAGGAGCTTCATCCACCTCCGAGCAGTTGACTGGTAACCCTGCTGGAATTTCCACCTCTTCATCCGCTGAGGAGTCCACCTCTGCTGCTGCCACCACCTCTGAAGCTGAGTCTACCTCCGCTGCTGCCACTACCTCATCCTCTGCCGACCAGTCTTCCAGCCAGGCCGCCAGCACCAGTTCTGCTACTGCTGATGAAACTACCAGCTCCGCTGCCGCCTCTACCTCATCCGACGCTGAGACATCTTCCTCCGCTGCTGGTGTCACATCCACTTCAGCCGCTGAGACCTCTTCTTCCGTCGCCGAGTCTAGCAGCTCTGCCGCCGCCTCCACTTCAGCTGATCAGACCTCTTCCTCGGCCGCCGAGACATCCTCTTCTGCTGCGGTTGAGACATCCAGCTCTGCCGCCGAGACATCCTCTTCTGCTGCTGAGACTTCTTCGTCTGTTGCTGAGTCTACCTCAGCTGCTGTCACTACCTCGTCCGCCGACCAGTCTTCCAGCCAGCCAGCCAGCACCAGCTCTGCCGCTGAAACCACTTCCTCCGCCGCCGAGTCTACCTCTGCTGCTGAAACTTCCAGCTCTGCCGCTGAGACTTCATCTTCTGTTGCTGCCTCCAGCACTTCTGCAGCTGATGCAACATCCTCTTCGGCTGCTGAGTCTACCTCTGCTGCTGCTTCAACCTCTGAGACCTCCAGCTCTGCCGCTGAGACCTCCAGCTCTGCCGCTGAGACTTCCTCTGCTGCTGCCTCCAGCACCTCTGCAGCTGATGCTACATCTACTTCAGCTGCCGAGACATCTTCCTCTGCCGCCGTCGAGACCTCTTCTTCTGCTGAGACTTCCTCCTCCGCCGCTGCAACATCTTCCGCAGCTGAGACCTCTTCCTCAGCTCCTGCAACCTCCTCCTCTGCAGCTGACACCTCTTCCTCTGCTGCTGAAACCTCCAGTTCTGCTGCTGAGACCTCTAGCTCTGCTGCCGCAACCTCAAGTTCCGCTGCTGCTGAAACCTCTTCTTCGGCCGCCGAGACCTCTTCTTCATCAGCTGCTGAGACCTCCAGCTCTGCCGCTGAAACATCTTCCTCGGCTGCTGCAACCTCCAGTTCTGCTGCTGAGACATCCTCCTCAGCGGCTGAGACCTCTTCCTCTGCTGCCTCCACCACTTCAGAAGCTGATGCTACGTCAACTTCATCAAGCTCTTCCGCTACTGATGAGACTTCAAGCCAGCCCACGACCTTCTCCACGGTCACGCGAACTGAGTCGGAGTCGGAGTCCTCTACATCTGAGGCTGCTACGACCACTACTGCCTAGATCTAGACGATGGGGTCTGAGCCGCGATGTCTTGACGCGATTGCGCATTGCGATGGTGACAGGTCTATAGAGAGACCAACCTAATACACATGATAATCTACTTACTATTAGAGACTGTGATATAGTTTAGATTAGCTTGAATCTCATTATTGTTTCATCCATTATTTGCTTGACTCATTTCGTGACTTTGTGAACTTATCCACTGTCTTGTTTTCGCGTTCTGGCTATACCTCAAAGGCCCAGCAAAAGTGACTGAACTTGGTCGATCTCGTGTTTCCACCAATCAAGAGCTCGGCAAGCGACGCGTGTTGAAATCCACTCCTTCATTCCAGCTTCACTTGGTAGTTAGCTAGCATCGGACCGAGCGACTTGAGAGTGATTGAATGGTAAGACGCGTCATACTTAGAGTTTTTGACAAAATTTGCCTCTTTATTCATCATAAATTTGGAATAAGAGCCGCCTAATTCAATTTGAGAACAACAGAGACCATGCATCCTCCATCCATTGCGACCAACCCTGACACTCGCCTTAAGTGTCGTACCCTAGACCAGACGATATCACTTCACCCAAGTTAGAATTATCTGAGTACCCGGCTTGTAGATATGTCGTGGTTCATACGATATGGTAAAACGTCGATAATAATCCAAAGTCGAGCGAGATGCATTATGCTGGTCAATTGTTGCAAGTTTGCTTGACCGACCTAGAAAATGACTAGCATTCCAAGGCGACCCGAACTTTTCGCCTTCGACCTTTCACGCACGAATCGTAATCTGTTAAGCCCGAAAGTCTTTTATCCTGTAGCCGGCTAAGTCCCGGCTAACGCTCATCTAAACATGCTCGGTGGATCAAGCAAATCTATTATTTTCTCTGCTTCAATCATCTTTCGGGCCAGACACATGAGCTGCTGGTTACAACTGAACAAGTATAGGTTAATTTAATGTGAACTGGTCTCAATTTATTGACTTTAGCGCCTGGTTGTTTATTTTGTTATTGACCTTGGCCAAGATACACGTTGCCTCGCTTTCCGACTCCGTTTCTTTTCTGTCCCACGGCCAAACAAAACACCCGACTGCGGCTCCCGCACCAACGACAGCATCATTGCATCTGTTATTCTAGGTCGGTCTGGTGGTCTAGTGGTATGATTCTCGCTTAGGGAAAACCCTACAGCTCAGCTTGCGAGAGGTCCCGGGTTCAATCCCCGGCCAGACCCTTGTTTTTGTATCCTTTTGCTCTTTTTTCACTGTCATTGTAGTGGAACAAGCAGTGTCCCTTCTGTCGGGGCTTTTACTTTTGAGAAATGTGGCTATTTCTATATAGCCTAAACATAACTCATGCCACGGTCAATGTGGCCTCAACCATAGCAACAGGCACTCCAGAGTCAAAGTCTCACAACGACCAAGGATGACAACTACTCTTGAAAAGGGATATAGGAACAACCCTGAAGTGCCGGCTTCCATATGCCTCAAGTGGCACATAAAAATTGACTCCACTGCCGGGGCGATCATCGTTCGTTTCCTGCTTTGCCTCATCCACGTTTCATCATTGCCCATATTCTAAAGAGTCCGCCAAAGGAAACAAAGGATGTTGCCGTGGAAAGTCTGAGACTGAGGATCTCATCCTGCTAGTAAAGCTTGGTTCCATGTCGAAGAGCGAGTCGCGCCATCGGAGATGCATGTAGTCAAGATTGGTTGATAGACCCCACAGCTGATGACACACGTAGTCAAGATTGGATTAGTTGACAGGGCCCGAGGAATGAGTACTTACAACTGTGAGAATAAGTCAGCAAAGTTGACTGCCTGAATCCAGACTGCATCAAAATAACATTCCATTGCGGTCAACAAGGGAAAGCTCCTCGAGGCACGAATGTGTCCTCGTTTCCGTGAAAGTGCCATCGGTACGGGCAAAGCTCCCATGCGATTTTCATCTCAGTCCATCCAAAGCGTTGTCTTTCAGAATCATTTTGTGATCTGAACGCGAAATGAGGGAAGCCGACTTTCTCCTCCTGATGACAATCGGATTGTCGTCCGTCACTCGCTGTTGACCGGGGGCGAATACTCGGTGAATACCAACCCAACATGTACCAGGCCTGCCGCTTCAGATTCAGGTAAGCGTGCTCGAGTAAGGCGTATTGAAGATCTGGAGATATGGCCAGATGTATCGAACAACGCCGGGGTTTGAGTGACTCAGGGCACTCGGTCTTTTGCTGTGAAGCAAATGCTTATTGTGGTGCTTCTTCTCGACTCGATTGTAGTAGAGGATTTCTGCGCCTTTATTGTGTCGCGGCGCTGAAGATCAAGAAGATGCATCGAGCCTTGTTTCATGTTAGATTTTCTCTCGGGGAACCAGTGATCGGCGACAACACCATGTCTCTCGGGGAGCGCATGCGTTTGTGTGACAGATCACTTCAAGCTCTCCCTTTGTAGAACATTCGTAACGGGGTGGAAGCCATCCCCAGTTGAGGTCCATTGTCCAGGTCAGGTTGTGTAACGCTTCGACTTGGCAAAGCCGCCACGTGATTCATGTCTCGACATTGCAGCATGTGCATGTTGGGCCCCACTTTGACGTGTTGATGCTCGGGCACGCGCGTCTCCACGCAATCACTGCACTCATGTTCACTACCTGCTCAAACGATACGGCGAAATCCTCACTGGATATGCTGTCGCGAAGATGCCCATCGCTCGCCAGAATTACCTCAAAATCCGACATCGCGTCTGTGCGAACGATACCGGACAGCTATAGTCTTCCAGCCCCTTGAGACGACGCCAAGAGAAGGTCCTGCGGTGCAACTAAGGATGCTGGAATGGCCCTACGCAAGGTCCCCTTACATAGTCAATATTGAAGTGAGTCCAGGCGATTGCGAGGCAGAAAATGACTGACAATTGGAGAGTAAACAACAGCCGACGACCAAGATATGCACGACTTACACCGTAGCACAACAAACGAAAGATCGGTACTTGACCACAGGTGCAATTTGGCATATTTGCATTGCACGGTATCTCCAGTGTTGCTTTCCTGGATGAACGAGTAACTAGAAGCCTCTGACTTCCTATAACATGGATGGCAAAGTTATGCGTAGATGGTCCCAATGAACCAACTCCGCACCCTAGAAACAACCGGACAGTCTCCACTGGGACTGGGGCCATCTTGCTACATCGGCGCTTGGTCACTTGGGAAGTTGCGACGATGGCTTCGCCGACTGCTGAGTTCATGGAGGGCCACCCAGGTCAGCTCCTTCCTCAAAGCCGGAACATCAACATGACCAGAACCGGCGGCCACTTCACATTCAGAATTTCTTCAACACACACACGCGCACAAGAAAATGGCTTCGAATACTCGTGCATCCTTCGAGCGCACACGCTCCGCAGCGAGCTTGAACGATGGGGCATTCCACGTGTTTTCTATCTTCGCGATCGAAACAGGTGAGTTTCCCTTTGCGTGGCTCAGCTATCACCAGTCCATGGAACTCTTAATTGACCTGTCGTGTAGTCACCAATTCCACAGTAAGGACTCTTGTCAACAAAACAACTCTCGTTCTGGCTGTCTGCAGGGTTACTGATATTCCCGACAGATGGCCCCCAAGAAACCCGTAAGTCGACACTTTACTGCCCAGACTCGCAGCACATACGAACATATCCATCAGCCCACAAACGCGGTTGCTAACCACTTTATTAGAACTTGAAGGCCGGCAAAGCCAGAACTTCCGTAAGTTACTCATGCTTTGTAATTGAGACCCGAAGCTAATATGCTTGCAGAAAACGTCGTGCAACGTCTCTTCGGAGACAAAGGTATGCACTCAGTCACTTGCCCCAGACCGCCACAGCTCTTACGCATACCTGTGTCACTCATTCACTATCTTCTTCTCATTTTAAATACTGATCATGCACTTACAGTCACGAAACGTCGTATGTTTGATCCTCTATCGACCGATGCCACGCCGAGACCTCGATGAGCATATCTAACAGGAGAATACCTAGTCCTCGGCGTCCGTCAAGTCGGCCCCAGCGGCCGAATCCGTACGTCTAAGTCCACTCTACTGCCGACTGTTCGTGTTCTGATAGTGTCTAGTCCACCAAGCCGACTCCCCCTCCACGTGGTCGCTCGTCCGCCTTCCCAATCATATATTCGCGTGTTGGTCGTTGGCAATTTGTGCTTCAGGGTCGATGAGTGAGGCTGTTGTAGCTTCAGAAGTCCACCAGAATACAGAGTGTGGAAATAAACTCAGCAAACTATTTCCTAAGTTTAGGAGAGATATCCTAAACTTACACTAATTTACCTAAGTCTTTTTGTCATTTAGGGCTTGGAACAAGATTCTAGTCTGAGGAAAGTAAAGTAACTGACGAATTGTTGAAAAGACTTCATTCAGATCAACCAGTCCTTAAATGAACTTCCCCTTGGATATTCTGTCTTCAGCAAGCCTTGTTGCTGCGCCAAAGCGAGAGGTTTGGAAATGGATTGACCTGGCGATGAGATTAGGTCTTACTAGATCATCACTGGTGTTTGATTTCGAAAGAAACCTACCTCTTTCACGGATATGGCATACAACTTGTCGGAAGCTAGAGGCTTGTAGTCAATTCTTCAGCTGTATTGGAGATATAGTATCATGCAAAGGAACCAAATTGCACGTGGCCATATTCCTACGGGATGCTCATCACCACAAATTATATTAGCCTTTACACCGGGAAAGTTTAGAAATCAAGTTCGACAACAGAATTTATCAAAGTCAACTTACAGAATAAATCAAATCCAACCAGCAGGGAGCGCTGACTGGTTTCGGCACATCGCTGAGTACAGGTGGCATTCTGCCTAAACTCTGAATCAGATAAGCTTGGACTTCCTAATGTTAAAAGTCGATCTGTTTCGTCGATATACCTGAGTCATATCTAACCTTTGAAGGATGAATATAAAACGTGGTAAAAATATAAAACGGTATGCGATGAAAGGTTTTGCAAACGAGTTTGATAGCAAATAATATTGCACCCACGTCAAGAGAGTGTAAACTCATACCGAAAAGTATAATCGGGTGGGGATATAAATTTGTGCCCTCCTGTAGCTTCTGGTACCTCAAACCTATTTCTTTGTTTCTCCTCATCATTTAATCTCAACACCAAAGGCCGCGACACACTGGGGACTTCATGCCTATAGCCACACACGCTACCATTGCCTTATTCTCACATTGGTTCTCTGTTCCAAGCCAAATCTTCGAAAACTATGACTACTTTTACAAGATTTACAGAGCTTCCTAGAGAGCTTCGGGATCAAATTTGGAGTCTTGCCATCCGAGATGACCATCCAGGAGCACATATCTTCGGACAATATGGGACCGGAAGCCGTCATATCTTATCTCAGTATGGTCCAAGTTTTGATGTAGCTGCTCCTTCTTGGAGCCGTTACTTTGAGAGCTTGGATGAGAATCGCAGCGACGAGAACATTTCGACATATCTTGTGGACGGCGGCTTATGGACCACCTGTCACGAGTCACGATGCATCATGGAAAAGCATTTCAGACAGTCAAGACGACAATTAGCCCCACGTCATCTCAATGACCGCCGAGAAAGTTTCAGCGAGAAAGACCGGTTCAGAATGGCCGAGTCAGGCTACTTCGATGGCAATCCTCTCGAAATAGTGACAGTTTTCCCCCGTAGAGATCTTTTTATCTTTCAGCTTGAGGACTTGGACAAGATCGACTGGGGTTACCTTGACTTCGGGTTTTGTGGTGTGGGTCACATCGCAATAGAGTATGACAGAGCGTGGGGGGACGGATATCACACAGATTGGGTTGTTAACCGTGCGCTTTTCAACGCTTGTGTCGAAGCTAGCTATACCTTCTGGTTCATTGATCGCTCTCTGAAACGAAAGAGTCAAGCCCCAGTATTTGAAGAAGAATCAGACTGTTCCTGGAAGCTCAATGCTTTTTATGCGAGCGACAGGAAGTTTTTGGAGATCAAGGACGACGGCACTCCAATGGAGAACTGGGAATATGTCGGGCCGTTGGAAAACTCTTTGTACGATCATTTATATGATTCGCTTGAGTTTGTTCGCGGGTTAAAGGATGATCTCATTGACAAGTCCATTGCTGACGGTTCTGAAGCTGAGGACCCTTGTGTCATTGGGCTTCTCGGTTGGGCCCCATTATGAGCCGCCCAGGGTGGATGGGGGGGTACATACCAATAATATAATGAAATCAAAAAGAAGATGATCTTAATACTCAATGACTGCCTCCATATTTAGGACTATGACCTCAAGTTGTGTTTGGTTATGTGGTTGGTGTCTAAGCTTATCGTATTTGACGAACAAGGTGATCGGCCCAGTGATACCTGATGGGGGTTCCATCGCCGGCCCCCTGTGATCCATTTCAGATTGATGAAACATGAATGATCGACGGGAGCCTTATACATGATGCCATGTCAAGATCGGTATTGCTCATTGGAAGATCATTTGGGCGCATGGACAGCATTTCGGCCTTGGGCATTCTTTGTCATTCGAACTGTTTGTTCGCAGCGATTCGTAGCCGAGTCATTTGATGGCGATTCGGCCTATTCAAACAGCTTCCGGGTCTTAGGATAAGTGGCGTAGAGACTTTGGCATATTTGTCGTACTCTTCGACGTTTATGATTGATCTGCTTGGGCTAGAAAGCCATTAGCTCTGTCGTGTCAAACTAGCCCCCCACTTCACTGAAGATACTTCTCGTGGGCGGCGACAAACCCCCGATCGGGCCTCTTCCCGTCCACACGACCTCCAGCAACTAGGTATCAGAGACAATGTACGAATCGGATGGCAGGTCAACACTGCCCAGTATAGGTATCCGTTTAAGCTCCACCTGGGTGACGGCTGAAGTCATCTGAAGCGAAGTAATGGTTCTTATCGAGCGGCCGAGAACGAGTTCGCTCGAGGATTTAGTCGAGGATTTAGTCGAGGATTCGCAATCGTTCGAATTGTCAGAGGCTGATGTGGTGGTCATGGAATTCGGTCGGATCTCAATCGTTGTTCCTAATAAAGATGCTGTCATCAGGATTAGCAAGTCTCTGGGTTGAAGGCAAGAGTGAGCACCAGCGTTGACTGGAATATAGACATCTGGGATGTGTAAAGACGACCGGCGATGCTCGCGACGAGAAACGAAAGCCAACGGTCGATTTGTGGACTCCAGGCAGATACAGGTATTTCTCGCGACGGAATGCCCCCTTCTGCAGGACGAACCTGCGGCTCATGCCCGCAAAACGGTTCTGTCGAGCCGAGAGATGCTAGCTGATGTGAAAAAGCTGCTGAACGTTCTCATCGATGGTTCATTCGTTTCGTTTCTGCCAATGTGAAGGAGAGTCAATTCCGAAGTCTGGTAAGAACCTTGAGTTCTAGGCCAAAGGATCTTTATCGCGGCCAGCAAGTGTCTGTTGGCAAGGAAGAGATAGTGCAAGCGACGATTTGTACCTTCGATGTGCCAGGAGCAGTACGATAGTAGCCTTCATTTCTCAGTAGACAGAGGCCGTTCCGTAGTACGACCGACGACAGTATGAGCAATGGTTGGTTAAGATACCGGAGTTTGCTAAGAACCTCATCGTTAGCCAAGGTCAACACTGTGTGCACTATGGGTTTCGGTCGCGAGACGTAGGACCCTATAATATGGCTCTCCCGGTACGATTAACTGCAACTGACGGTCGACGCTCGAGATTGAATTGTTTGGTAGATGTCACGGCCGCCTCGTGTTGATTTCCGTGGTAAGGAAAGCCGTGAGGGGAGATTGCAACGGCCTGGCCATGTCTCAGAGCTTGAATCTGCAGAGAGAACTCAATGAGTGTAAGATCGCTCCCTGATTCAATGGTGCGAAATGTGCCGTTCGTCGTGGGGACTAACGTGTTGGCTTGACGCGGCAGACAAAACGCTTCGAACACTGGCATCAGTCAGACATCATCGAAATAAAGATGGTTTACTTGGATCATATCTCACCAAAGAATACTTGATGCTCAACGTTGTCTGTAGTTCGCCAACTTAAAAAATACTTCGCAAATGGTAACGGTGACGGCGACGGCGGTACCGAACTACGCCCTTATTTGCTTCAAAATCACACCTAATCGCGAAAATGGGATGGGTTGGTCCATGGCCTTTTGTTCTTCAGAACGTGGGTAGCATGGTCGGCGCTGGGATGGGAGGCGATTTGCTACGAGCTTTGCAGCTCTCTTCCAAGGTCGGCTGCCCGCAGACTTGCATCGATTTGGCTGCCTCGCTTGGCCCAGTGAAGAAAGTGGGCTCGTATGCTATGCTGAGGTCGTGCTCCCGGCTTGCTTGCTCGTCAAGATTGAGGGTGTTACGTTGGTTGACTCTTTCTCTCCAGATGGGTTCTCATCTTGATTGATCGCCGTATTTTTGAGGTCATGATGTGGTCTCAGACTGCTCATATGAACAGACTCTATAGAGGATGATGTGTCGGACCATCGGTCAGGAGTATGACGGTTGAGTTCGTCGGTCTTCTCAGTCGGGTTCCTTGAAGTCTCGGGGCTGATCAGGAAGTGCACGCATCAATCGATGGGCTCATATTAATGGCGAAAGTCATTCTGAAATTATTAGCATCGTTCACTTTCTCGACTTGACAATGGGAACAAAGACTTGGTCATGGTATGCTACTGACATAAAGTGATTGAGCAATTGGGTGGAGGGAAAATGGTAGGCAATGTCAGCGGAATGAGCAGGTGTCGGCAAAGTCACGGGTAAATGGGGATCGTGTGGGGCAGCTGGAGCAACTGCATCTTTCCGCCAGGCCAGACCAGACCAGACCAGACCAGAGAACAGTAGACTACCTGTTTGACACCCATATCACAACATTTACTTCTATTCTTTCTAACTCGCGTCATATCGTGACAAACGCCTCGCACGCCGGCGCCCTGTTTCTCTAGCAGACCGCGCGTCTTCCTTTGTTTCCGAGCGTCGTGATTGCTCTCTCTTTCCGAGCCCAACATGCTGTTCAACCCGACAACAGTCCGCACGGTTTCTCGACTCGGCGTGAGCAAGGCACGTTGAGCTTGGTATGCTACCGGCTCGATTTCTCATGATCAAGGCTAATGCCGTCCTATGACATTGCAGGTTTTTCCGCAATCAAGAAGCAAAGCCATTTGACACACGACATCACCCAAGATCTCTACAACGCCGTCCTTTGGCTTACGACCTCAACTTCATTATCCCTGAGATACATATTCACCCTGGCGCTATTAGATGGCCGAAGACATCCCGGAGTGGCCGTCAAGTGTCAAAGTGATATCATTTTGCTACATTACAGACCCTTGCGACTAGGGGTCAGGGACCTCTCGACAGCGAAATTAGTCTTTCTCAGTCACTCGTCACTCTGCAGCGTCTCCAGACTTTGGGTACAGGTCGAGTCATCTTCTCAAACGTTCTCTCCACCTCTGTGCCTTGGCCCGCGCGGCACGGCGGTATCGACCCTTTTGCGGTTCCGCTGTCTTGGAGGGCCTTTGTGACGACTCTCCCCGCAGTGGCTCAGTTTTCAGTGGGCTGCCTCGCTTCTATGGTCTTCGCTGGTATTTCACTTCCAGCCCACAGTAATGGATTGATCGGTTCTTGGAATCTTGGTTCTGGCCACCCACCCTGTCCAACAATTCAGCAACAAATCTCTGCCAGCCCAGTCTACAGGTTTTAACAACGCGTGCCGAAGGAGGACGCGATCTCGTGCGAGTCACTCGATGAGTATTTCTCAAGATCTAGCGAGGAATCAATCACCCAAGCTCTGTGCTATTGACTGGAATCAATAGAAGCAGACATATTCGTGTTATCCACTATGATTTCGATGAGATAGGATCACGCTGAGCCCTTCACTCTGCAAAGAATGCGTACTCAGCTGGCTGTGCTGATCTAGGCGGCGGCCGAGGGGAACGAGCGTACAATGACTGTAAGAAGAAGCCCATGAGCACATTGGAAGTGTGACTGGCGCGAGCCGATCTCGAAAGACTTCACGGGGGGAAGAGTCGAAGATGAAAGTCCTGTCAACATTCTAACATTCATCAGACTTGTATGGTCATTGCCACTACATCTTCGCCAAAACCCTACCCGCGACAGGCTCCCTCCCGACGTTGAAGGAATCAAAGTTGGAACGTCAGGCCTTTCCAGGAAGCGGCACTCGTCGGTCTTCATTCACTTGCGGCTGAGCAAGAGGAGTCCCACGATGTTCAATAGGTGAATCACCATACAAGATTCATTCTGTTGCCCAAAGGCGCCAGAGACAGACCCATACCAAATCCTGTTTCTCACATCCTCTCGAACACACAACTATCGACATCGGCCACTGTATATCGTCACGACCCTTTCACATGATGCCTCTCGGTCTCATGAGCTCCGCCCTCAACGACATGACAAAGCCCAGCTCTGTAGCCTTCGAAGCGGTTTGACTTTCAGCGAAATTCTCACTGCCTATCACGATGATACAGACTGACGAAAATTGGTAAAAGATGACCACGGCGATTTCCGCATCCACTCAGAACCTCGTCAACCGATCACTCCATTGCAGTACGGCTCTTTTATGGCATGCGCTTGTCAGCCAATCACGACATCCCAACCAAATCACATTCGCTCTACTTTTAAGAGTCACTCACACATGTTCTAGCGAAACCCAGCGCCGAATCGACCAAAGGCTTCTCTTAGTTTCTCTTGAAGTGACTAGTCGCAATTTTTGTATCGAATATGGTTCAGCTCTCCTTTTGAACAACAACCTGACATTATGGGAGAATCTGGCTTCCTCACCCAAGGTTTCTCATTCTTCAAAGGTTTTCTCCGTTATTGAGTGCCTGCCCCTCCGATTGCCTCCTTAAACCCCAAGATTCGAGAGACTGGGTTCAGCTTTTTAACACGAAACCACTTTTCTGCAAACTCTCGTGCTTATGTCGAAGCAACTCACAACGTTTTACATTCGTACCCGCCTCTTTCAATACTTGAACTGACTCATCATTGCCATCTGCATCGCCAAGCATGAACTTACGGCCACGAAATACACGATATTACGTACGAGTCAGGTGTTCAGATTAACTTGGTGGAAGCCTGGTTTCAAATGTCATATCCCCTCATAGAACCTTTCCTGGGTAGGTATTCCGAGGACACGACCTACGACAACAATATTTGAAACCTAGCACGCCTACTATAGTCAACTGACAATTTAGCAAACGCCTTCTGCCGTTGGAATTTCGTCCTGTGGGACATGAACACCTGGTATCTTATGATTCCAGGATCGCGTACGCCATCAATTGGCCATAAGCTTGATTCCGGAAATGCATAAAAGCGGATGTGGTGATGACATGGTGCCGATTTCAAGCGCACCGCCGTGAGTCCTGCTGGCCCATTTACAGACCCCTTACTGATTGCGTATCAAGAACCGACCAACCACTAAGAATTTCTCAACGGAGAACTTGCGATGAAGCTCGAAAGCCGTTACTCACCGCTTCTCCCATCAAGAAATACCACGAAAGGTCTCAATGCCATTTGAGATCACTAATGAGCCGCTCCCATTCCCAACCTGCTCAGTTACCGCCCTGATCACCAAACTCTGTGTCACAAGCGTGTCTCATCGTCCCTGCCTGCCTAGCCTCTTCAGATACCAACGAAGTACTTTGATGTTGAGATGAAGTTCAGAAGAACGTGATATTGATGAGTTACATCTACTAACTGCTACAGGATCATGACGAACAGTCCCGACCCTGTCTAGGTCAAAGTACCAGCGACAGCCCATCAAGCACAGAGTCTTACGACAACACTGTCTCCTCGCTCGATAATTCGATATCTGACAATCGGCCATCCCTCATCTCCACAACCTAATCAACCCCTTCTTTTCCTCGCCGCTCGCATATCTCAGAAACATCCTGACTGCTTTCTCACCTCAAGTCCCACTTACCGGGGAAACTTCTGGGGCAAGCCTCATTTCACGGAAACAAATATCGTGTTACAATCACCCGTGCGGGCAGCCCAAAGCACATTCTAGTGGCTTCCACTCTCTCCGGAAGACAGGTGCCCCCCCTTCGGCCATTAGTCCGTCTCTCAATGCGATTGTGTTCTGGGCCTTCGAATCCCACCTTCAAAGCGCAGATTGACATGACAGCCGCGCCTTTGGTGGATGGGCAAGCCATGTTTCACGCCATCTTTAACCGTTCCTCGCGATTGGACGGGCCCCAATTGATGCCTTTGAATAATAACAAGCATGGACGAGCGGCAGTGGTGTTTGTCACGAGGAAGAATGCAGAACCGCATCATGTGTGCAGGTAACCACAACGAGTGCAATGAATTGGTTGCTGACACGGAAGAACAGCGACGGCTACCAATTGAGGAAGTATTCACACACAGCGAAAGGATTGTGACTACAAGGAGGGGGAATCTCTCTGCATACTTTAAGTATGTCGACTCGCTAGCAGCGGCCTCTTTGGCGACATTCAGACCCTCAACAATACGCTAATGTTCACTACGAGCGGTCTTCCTCCTCAGTCTGTGTTTTGACCCTCGCGCCTCTGTCAATCAGCATCTATACCAAAGCCAAGATAACTAGCGGCCATCCATCATCGTGCAGGGCTCGGACGGGACACCGACAGAGGTCGGCGGTTTCAAGCCATGCGAAAGTGGCTGCGCGGATGCCGCATGTTTCTTGCCTTCTGGCTTGTTGACTATCAGGCGCATCACCATCGAGATGCTTGGTATATCCTTCCTTTAATGTGATTTTATCTGCTGATATCTATCCACTTATTGCCGAACCTCGACATATATTACGAGCGAATGTCTTTACAGCTCTCCTCGCTGTTGCTCATTCCCGGTGCCACGCAATATACGATTTGTCTGCTGCGGACGCATGTTAAGTTATTGGATGACGCTTGCGTCAGGTACTCGACTGTGTAGAGTGACGGACCATGCGCGCTTTGTGGTATCGTTTGCCAGCGGGTTTGAGTATGCCATTTGTCAAGCTGTGAAACAGGAAATGAATAAAAGTGTTATTCACGAGCAGCTACACATCGTGATGAGGATGAATGATTTAATCCCAAGCCACTCACTGTCCGGCTGACATGTAGGCCTCAGGGAGCGAGAGATCAATCGAGTCAGCGTCGGATTGCGTCTCAGTTCCGATGTCCGACGTCAATGCCGAGGAACCCCGAAAAGTCTGTCAGCTGGGATTGGATACCATCTCGAGCCCTTCTTTTGGTACCACGAAATTATGTAGCGGGTCTCTCAACTTGATATACCCTTCAAATGCCCGTTCTTGCGACCAATTTCGTGATCCACGATGGGCATGCTGGCGGGCCTTGCTGGGGCCTTTCGGCTTGATGGATGAGCAAAAGGAGTTACTGCGCGCTGTCCTTCATTTTCAGCTTCGAGGACCTTTGTGGTATTATTGAAGGGAAACTTTTAGTTGAGATCATTGAGGCATCTTATTCCCAAACAGCGTTGTTGCTTGTTGACGGAAGGGTGGGCAGGATTTGGATGCCTGCTGAAGATGCCTTGCACGTTGATATCTTCTTCCCGGGATATAGGACTTTGGCGCGAGGGACAAACTTCATAGAGACCCAAAGAGAGTCAATAGTGAGGTCTTCTGAATACTGGCTCATGAAGCGAAAGTCGGGATCTCGAAGATCCCATTCCAAGTCCCTTGCCGTGATTTCGCTTTCGACAGGTAGCGGCTGTCTTCGATCTCCCATGCAAAGGGGACCTCATTGGAAGATCAGGAGTCTCAACAATAAATAGCCTGGGGCTGTTGCATTCAGTGACATCCACTACTGGCAACTCACAGGGATTTGAAGCCCCAAACAAGGCGGTAGATACACCTTGGGATGCTGAGTCTGGTTTGTTCCTTCGAAAATCCCCCCTCTTTTAGTATTGCCGCCTGGTGTTGGATGGCTTGGGAGCGCAGGGCCTCTCGAGGCTTGCTTGTGGACGGTAAACGATTTATCACTTCATCCGAATGTTGGTTCGAGTTGCACGGCTGAAAGGACTTGAAGTTGAACTTGAGAGGCTAGCAGTCTCGTCCAGTGTTGATGTAGTGAATCGAAGCGGGAGGTTGTCGAGGGATCTGCGTTGTTGGCCTTGCAAGAATGGTACGAGAACCTGTCGTTTCCGTCAGCGATGATTGGGCTGACGGTGTTGAGAACATGCTGTTGATAGAGTAATGAGGTATGAAACTTTCTCTCAGCTTAGACTCTATCTCCACAAGGAACCAGTGACAACTAAGAGAGTGGTTTTCATCTTTTCATTGGATTCGCATTGTTGCTGTGAGATGCGGATCGATCGGCTCGAAATGGTCACTCCATCATGAGTGCCTCGGAGCGAGCATTGGTCATCAATGAAGTAAATGACGACAGAGTGGGAGAAACAGGGAGATCAGATAAAAGCAGTGCCATCAGTAGGTATCCGAGTGAAGTTGTTGTGACTACTTTGACCGACAACGACACGCAACTCAATTTGTATCTCGAACGATGAGACATCTCTAAGAGACCCAAGTTCGAACTCTTCTTTGGCTTCTGCAGAGGTGTGTTTCGGGTCGCCTGAATTCTGATTGCGTTGATATCGGGGTCGCTACGGAGTTTTGCATGGGGAGGTCACCCATGGGCGATGATTAGTGGCGAGATACTGTTCCAAGAACACCAGGACAGCTGGGCCTCTAGTATGTACCGCAGCAAGAGGATGAAACCTACGCTTGGGTTAGGGTGTCTCTTTCATCTCCCGTAAAGCTGAGTTTCCCGGCCAGCAGATGAGTTTGCCTAGGAACTCGCCTTCATCCTCATCTTTACTCTTGGTGTCTTGACAAATAGATCTGTTCGAGTTCCGTCTTGACCCAACTGGACCGCCGTAGCTTCGGAAGTTGCATCTTCGCGACGAGTCCACGACAGTCAAGATCAAAGCTTACCAGTTGCGTGGATATCGATTTGAGCTGAAAGCGCCCCAGTTGGTATTCCGCTCTTGCGCTTCCCGTCTGATCGTATACAGGCGAAGACGGCTGTAGCCTGAAGTGTTGTATGAATCAGGACAAGTCGTGTGTGGGGTTATCGTTGTAGAAAGATCCCCTTTCGCCGTGACCTTTCAGTTGCCGCCTGCCCGTGTCGGAAACAGCCTGTCCCGAGGAATTCGAAGATGCGCCCTTCCGTCTTGAATGCTCCTTTGGGCATGTAATCTTACCAGCGGCATGATAGTTAGGAATTCGGGTTGGGGAGAGGGTGGAAGACGAAGACATTCGTTGAGCATGAGGAACTCGGGTAGTGACAGACGCTTATATTTCGGGCTGATCGGCAGTTCACTGTTCCCCCCCTGACTTTCTTGGGCTGCGATTGCCATCGGCTTCGGTTGTTTTCGCCGACACTTAGGATTTTCGGCGAGATTTGTGTTTCTAATCGTGTTCGGGATGCGGAGAACGAGTCGGGATGCGGAGAACGAGTCGGGATGCGGAGAACGAGTCGGGATTGCGTGCCCTCTGTGTCATCTGGTCAGTCACTTCACCCAAGCCCGTATCATCTTCCCTAGAACATACTGCGACCATGTGTTGGCCTTTGGCGGTCGATCGTAAGGAGAACGATCCGGTAATCTCTCAATTCCGTTGCTGACTTCGGCGGAGAGGCGAATGTGTTGAGATAAGTGTCTACCGCGCACAGTCGAGATAATGTCTCGGCATCTTGCGCAAGGGCGGCGGTTTGCTGGGCGCTTTCGAGTTCTCGGCTCATGGCGGCAGCGTGGAGGCGGTTGGTAAATCTAGACCAGAAGTCAATGTTGGCATGGCGAAGATACATAATCTAAGACTTGCTGGGTCTTCCATTTTTGACGAAGTTTCTCATTGTTGAGCGAGATTACCGGATATCGTTTCGCAAGTCTCGGTTGTCGGACAGAAGGTTCTGGACCGTCTGGTGTTGTTTCCATGACAGCTGCCTGCAGTGCCAAACCACAAATGGATATTGAGTACCTATTGAAACGCTTCTTGACAGCACACGTATTATTTTAAGAGGTAAGTGTTCGACCTACTTGTTCATATTGAGACAACAGTATCCTCCCATCCAGGCGGTGGAGCTTTGCTCTTCTTTGATAGATCTGAGTAGGTCACACATACTAGCGTTGCAGGATATCTCTCACGAATGGCGACAACAATCTTACAGATCTCATGACCCGGCCACTTGTTGAAGGTCTGTCGCGTATGAGAACATTCGCCATTATCCACTGTTTCCGTGTGGTGCTGCAGCATGTCTACTGTTGCCTCGCTAATCCTGTCCACTCTCACCCAGGCTCAGAACACCGCGATACACTCATACGATCTAGCCGGTACCACAGGAATTGCGACGATGTCCGATTCCATACCATGACTGAGAGTTTCCCCTTTATTTAGTGGCACATTCTCAACGAATGAGAGGCGTACGTCCATGGGCGACAGGCCTACTCAACATTACGGGTAAAGTGAGAAGAGCCGGCAAGCGATTTGTTGCCGATGTGTTTGATGGACATCCAGAAACAGAGGGACGGAGTTACATGGCATCCTTCAGGCCCTTCTTGTCTCGCGTTCCCATTACCTTGACTTGGATTTCACGGTTGTTCTGCAACCCTGAAGGCCATGATCCCCCCCTCATGACAATAATAGTCAACATAATGGAAAAAGCTAAAGCAGGCCTAGTGCGAATGAGCTCGAGAAGGTATCACAAGCAGGGAATATATTCTCGTGGTATCCTCCCCCGTTTGAAGTGATCCATCACTCTTCCATCACCAAGTCAGCTACGAGCAGGTTGCACATTGGCCAATGAAATTGTTTTCTAACTCCGCTAATCTCATCTCACAGCCCTCCGTCCTCTCCAACGCGGTTGTTGGTTTACCGTCAAAGCAACACGTCCTCGAGGAGAATTAAGTCAATGACCTCATAGTCTCATCACGCCCGCTACACTCCACGAAGCTCGTGACCTTGATGCTCTATTCAACGTTGAAGTCACTCTCGCTTCTCAGCTTCGGGTGATGATTGCCCTGACGAGACTTTTCAAGATCAATTGATCCTGGCAACATCTTCTCGGAAAGTTGGTAGACAGCGATCACCAACATACGTGACGATTTCCCAACATCGCGGCTCGTCCTGTCCGCTACGCCACCCAGGTACTAGGCAGGCAGTCCACTGCTGCCAAGCTGATCAAAACACAAGATTCTATCAAGATTCATCAAAAAGCCATTCTAGAACTCGAGTACGCCACATCGAATACTTTGTAAATCAGGCTTGATGTCAACTTTTGTGCTGAGGCATTGACGTTGCTGGTCTGTCGATGACGGCCAAAGTCCGCGGAAGGTCGCCGTGATGAATGATCTTCTTGCCCCAACTCCATTGGCGTCCCCAGAACGAATTTGGTCAAGCGCATGAGAAAAACTGTAGATGTGAGAGTGAGACCATACATGAGAGACCGGGCATTCCCCGCGGTGCCTCTTATCTTGTTTTTTGTAAGCGAAGCAACCCCATGGGGAACAATCGCAACGCTCATCCTACCCCACGAACTGACAAAAGGAGGTGTTGAATGAACAGCCCATCGCAGATCCGATGTTTATGAACCGCCAGTTTGTGGATTATCTATATATCACGACCCAAACGCCACCAGGGCTCCCCCCAGCAGCGTTCTGAGGAGCCCAACTTGACTTGCTCTTAATCTTGCCATGAAAGTGTCATTCCCACTAACTCTGACCCTCCTTCAGACCACCGCCATCACAGACGCTTCAATCATGAATCCTCCTTCACCACCTCTATCAATTGCCAAGAGGGCAGCCAACGTCTCCTGTGGCGCTGACCCAAGAATGCCGGCCGGCGCTTGGGATTCACATCTTCACATCATGGACCCCGTGCGTTATCCTCCAGTCGAAAACATTCCCTACAAGCCCGCTGTTCATAATCTTTGGGAGAACGCGATCTTTGAGAACAGCATCGGGTGCGACCATGTCTTCTTCGTTCAGACCGCAACGCATGGATATGATTTGACCCTCATGATGGACTCTATGCGTGCGGTTGGGAATCAACGAGCCCTAGGTCTTGCGTTGTTTGACCCACACACCACTTCACATGAGCATATTCGCAGATGGGATAGCGAGGGTGTTCGCGCTGTACGCGTCAATCTCGTGAGCTCAAGAGCCAGATCAACAAGTACGTCGATCTTATCAAGCCTTTCGATTGGGTTCTTCAGCTGTACACCAAGATGGAGCGTATTGCCGAGCTGGAAGATTTCTTGCCCGCTCTTGGCGTGCGCGTTGTTTTTGATCACTATGGCGACCCAAGTCTTCCCAAGTCAACGGGTCCTGTGAACCCCTACGACATCAAGGGCTTCCAATCTCTGATCCGCCTTTTGAAGACTGGGACGACTTGGGTCAAGATATCTGGCGCATACCGCCTCAGCCATCTTGATTCTGATGTCTGGGAGGATCTCGACCCTGTCACGTTGGAGCTCTTTGAGCAAGCCCCGAAGCGAGTTGTGTTTGGCTCAGACTGGCCTCACACACGATTTGAAGGTTTAGACGTTAGGCCTTGGGTGTCTCACTTGCTGGATCTCACGGAAGGAAAGCAATGGCTCCGGGAGAGACTCTTCAGGGATAATGCTTTGGAGCTTTGGGGAGTGAATGAGACGCAGAGTACCTGTCATGGAGACAGATGACATGTATGATGATCAAAAAATGGTCTATAAGGCTCTCTATTATTTTTTAATAATATGAGCGGAAATTAACAAGTATCAAGTCCATCGATTGGATAAATAGTGAGCAGCTCGTTAGCCACCATGTTGCCAAGTGTTCACCATCCAGACCAGTCTCTTCATCTAGTGTAGCAAATTACAACTGTGCCAACATAGGAGCATGGGGATACCCTGGAGTGATCCGAAATGCGCCTCAGAGAATATTTACTAGAATGTCGCAAAAGTTGAACTGCTTTAGTACGGCATTTGAGGCTGCTGACGTTCATCATGCCCACGGAATCTGGCCGTGGAACATCCCCGAAAGAAAGTGGCCCTTTCGTAGAGAAGCGATTCCACGGACTGAGCATACTTTCTAACGGTAGATAAATTGTAATCTGCAGCTTGCCAAGACACGAACTTCGAATAACGCAGTATCTCTGTCAAGGTGCCAAAGAGATCTACTTCACCAGCCATGTTTCCGTCGAGAGGTATCATTTCCATACTTGTCAAGGCTCCCAGCGACGTTGTAATTTTGTCCTCACTGCGCACGCCAATATGTCGTGCGAATAGAGGATCCCTCAACAATGCATTCCCCGAAGAGCTTCTTGCCTCTGTGCTCAAAGCAACGATCGACAGAGTACCCAACCTCGACCCGTCATTCATAGAAGATGTCGCTGTTGGTGTAGTATTGTCTGAGCTTGGAGGCTCTAAAGCTGCGCGCATGGCTATGAACCACGTTGGTTACCCAAATACCACGTCCCTCTATACTATCAATCGGGCGTGCTCTTCGTCACTCCATGCAATCTCGTCCATCGCTTCTCAGATTCGAACAGGGATGATCTCCGTGGGAATTGGAGCGGGTATGGAAAGTATGACGCGGAACTACGGGAGCCGAGCTATCCCAACTGACCTCTGGCCCGCTCTCCGAGAGTCCCCGGTGAAAGATGCCCTGGACTGCATTCTTCCAATGGGCATTACCTCCGAAAATGTCGCCGAGCGATACGGCATCTCACGGGAGGATCAAGATACTTTTGCAGTTAGCAGTCACCTAAAGGCAGCAAAAGCACAAGCATCTGGACGTTTCTTGGATGAGATTGTCCCGTTTACGCAAAAGATCCTTGACGGAACAGAAGAGGTTGTCGTCGATACGGATGATGGCATCCGACCCCAGGCAAGTTTAGAAGACCTAGCAAAGTTGAAGCCGGCCTTCAGAGAGAAAGGCACCTCCACCGCTGGCAACTCATCTCAAGTCTCAGACGGCGCCGCCGCAACGCTCCTCATGAGACGCAGCACGGCAAATGAACTTGGCCTGGCTGGCAACGTCATAGGGAAGTTTGTTTCTGCAGTCACAGTAGGCTGTGCACCAGACGAGATGGGTGTCGGGCCGGCGATTGCGATTCCAAAGCTACTGGAGAGCACTGGCCTCACGAAGGATGATATTCAGAGATGGGAAATCAACGAGGCCTTTGCGAGCCAGGCAATCTATTGCCTAAGAAAACTAGATCTCGAAAGGGCGTACCAGGATAATAAGGTCAACCCGGATGGAGGTGCTATTGCTCTAGGGCATCCGCTGGGTGCTACAGGGGCAAGACTGGCCAGCACGCTACTACATGGCTTGGGGCGACCCGATGGCGGTGAGCTGGGGGTTGTTAGCATGTGTATTGGAACTGGTATGGGTATGGCCGGATTGTTCGTACGAGAATGAATAGCCTCTGGAAATGAACAATTGAACTGAATAGAAGCTTCCCATATGAAGTCTGGCTCGGAGCTGTCAGGATAATGGTATAACTAACAAGTATGTTATGAACGCCGTGCTGAATTATTGGTCACATCTCCGTCTGCGGCATCAACCGTTTTCTCCGCAAGACCCTACCCTCAATTCGCAATCTATTGGCCAGAGGCCTCCATCCTCCAAAACCAAGCTTTCTGCATTGCTGTAATTTCTAGTTGTCGCCCAGCCTACCTAATTTGGGTCGTAAAGTGGTTTCACCGCTACCCGCCGCGGGCAAGTCCCGCGCTCAGTGACCGACACCACTCAGGCACCCTGTAATGAGCCCCAACTCAAGAAATTAGTCATAGGATTTGGCGGGGATACACGCTACAACCACAGACCAAGAACACGGGGAAAGCCCTGGGATCGACATTGAGAAAACGAGCTTGATGCCCCACGATCTGGGGTAGCTGCGCTCAGAAGTATATAAGCCAGGCCAACGAGTCTCGCTGAGATGGCAATCAAGCAAGAGAGCACTTCGATTGCAAAGGAACATAGAATTTGCTCGCGATCTTTTCATCATGCCCGCAATTGAGTTCGCCAACTCCTACGGGAGCTCTGTACACCACCTTGTATCAGGCTCTTATACCAACAAAACACTCTTCCTCCTTGCCTTCGACACCATTGCTAAGACATTGACTCTGAACGCCACTGTTCCAGGGTTTGGCCTTCATCAATTTGTCACAAGTAATGCTGCGAAAGACCGCGTCTATGCCACTGCCATGAGCGAGCCTCCTCAGCTGTTCTCGTGGTCGGTTGACGAGAATTATCAGTTTACCCATCTTGACACGGTCAATATCAGTAAGTCAAGGGTACAAAACATGTTGAAGCTTCTTTTGCTGATTAATAAAAGCCTCTTCGTCTTGTTACTTCTCGGATGATGGCAACCTGGCTTTCTCTTCTGGTGGCTCAACTGCTGCCATCCATGCCCTTACTGAGAATGGTGCTATCGGTGAGCAGATTCAGGAGCTCTACATGGTACCAGAGGAGGAAATCAAGAATGTGAACAAGACAAGAGCGGCTGTGGTAAGTTCACATAGTACTTTCGTCTCGTTTGCTAGTGCTCACAGATATCCAAGCTCTATGGTGCTCATGCCTTTGACATCAACGTCAACAGAAAGGGCTTTGTCCCTCATTTGTAAGTACCCAACCTCCGCTACAGATGATATGACTAACTCTAAGCAGGGGAATGAACTCCATCTTTATGTACGACATTGCGGAAAACGGCACTGCTACGCCTTTGTCGATCAACCTAAGTCCAACTGAGGGTGATGGACCACGAAACTCCTATTCTAGCAAGGATGGAAAGCTTCTCTACGTGGTGAGTCACTTTGAGGGTGAGGATAAGAAACGACAACGAAGAATGACACCATGCATCAGATGGCCGAACACAGTAAGCTCAAATGAATACTTTCACATGAATTCCCTCACTAACCTTGCAGATCAATGGATGGATGTCTATAGAGTGCTTGGCACACGTCTCGAACATCTCCAGAGGGCAAGTGTCATTCCTGATGGTGAGTAAATCCATCGAATTCCGAATCCGTAGTTATCTCTAACAACTGAAGATGTGCGAGGCGTTTATACTTTCCGCAGCAACACTGTCCAGATGTCCCGGGACGGCAAATATCTCTTCACCAGTACTCGCAGCTGGAACAACACAGAAGCAAATGGCTACGTCGCGGCATTCGCCCTTAACGAAGACGGACTATTGAAGAGCGAGGAAGCGGTGGCTTTCTACGAGGCGTCTGTTACTCTTGGTTCTGCGGGCGGTCTCCGAGTTGCTCCTTGGCAAGACGGAACTAACAGTGATCCCAACGGTATCACGGACTACATGTATCTCAGTGATACTTCTGAGGGCTGGATGTTCATTCTTGGTTGGAATCCTTCGAACCATACTCTTGATGTTGTGGCTTCGCTACGTTATCCTGATAACAGCACGCCTTACGAAGCTACCTGGCTTGATTAGATCTATGGAGCTCTGACGTGGGTAAAGGATTCTGTAAGTAGTTCTATACCCTCATTTCTCTAGTAGCGTCATAGAGCCAACACAGCCTCAGCTTCATGCAATAGCGGGCAACAGGGATGTAATACTTGATGTATGATGAGTGACGTATGGCGAGCAAGATTGGAAGAAATTTCGTTCTTGCTGTGAAATGCCATCTTTCTTCCTCCGCCAGGCTAAACATGGATTTGTAGTCGATAGTCCAACGTATCGAGATTGAAATTATCACGGGCTATCTGAACCGAACCATCATATCAAGTGGGATTTCTACGCTCAGCTAAGGGGCACAAAAGCCGTTACAGCATATGAGCAGCTTATAGCCCACTAGCGACGTTGATCACAGAAATCGTCCGCTGACTCTCTATATTTATTTATTCATCTTGGCTCCGCTAATGTCTACACTTGCTTTGCTAGAGGTTCTGGAACAGTCTTGTTTCTCTCACCAACTGATATTTGCGTTAGTCGAAGCTGGCAATGGATTGATGCTGAGGTGAAGGAACAGTTCAAAGTACGTACCATCTAATGCTACAAGAAAACGGCTGACACAGTTATAACATGCAACCTGGAAAGTCTTGTCAGTATCTCTGAGAAAAGGGTTACTTACTTCGATAGGATACACTTACTGTTGCGACAACCTCAACTACCTCTTGATCGCTGGCAAGCGACTTAAGCCACTCAAATGTCTCATCCTTGACCTGAACATTCCTCGTCATCTCATCAGCCACGACACAAACAGCCCATTTTTTCTCATTGAGGCCTTCTGGTCTCTCAATCCGCGACAAAACCCCCTCCTTCATGATCTCGTTCATCGACTCTGATGAGAGACCGCTATTGATAGCCAAGGGCGCATGGTGCATCCACTCATACCAAGCCCTGTTCACGACGGCAATGCGGCAGATGGCAAGTTCTCGCAGATCATCTGCCAATGACGTCTTTGTGCGGACGGCGCCGACGAAAGTGTTCCAGCCAGCGGCGACGTGAGGGGAATGCAGTAGTGCCAAATCGAGGGGTTGTATGGGGCGGGGATGACGGCGGGCCGCAATTGCAGCGACGATTGCCTCTTCTTCTGGGGAAGAAGTCGGAGGAGGATTAGGGATGTAAGGGACTCTCATTGTGGGTATTGAAACAGAAGATGTGTGGTATCGTCGAAAACTCAGAGTCAGAATCATGGCAATGACACTGTAAATGATATATGTCATCGTATATCTCCATTACCATCACTTACCTTCTTCCAAGGCTCTTCAATTCCCTGCCCGCATTCCCCGCACACTCCGTGGTAACTCGCCGCGGAGACTGCCCGGGCCAATTACGTTGGTCATCCACATCAGTAGCCGTCAAGTTCAGACTCGACAATAATCCCCCAGCTTTCGGATTTTCACCGTAAGCCAATTCTTCACTTCTCTCTCCGTGATCCGAGCTTATCAGAAAATCGGTTGTTATCTCTTTTGCCCTGGAAACATGGAGACCAATGACGAGCAAGGACAGGGACAGAGCTCCGCTCGCTCCAAGAAACAGCGGATGTCTCGCAAATATCGAGGATTGACATGTGCTAATTGCCGTGCAAAGAAGGTCAGAACGCTGTCTATTTTCCATTTTTTATTTCTCATTGAATATTAGATTTCGATACGCTTGCTGACTTCATTGGTAATGTAGGTTCGATGTGAAGGGAGTCAACCGACCTGTAAAACATGCGAGGTCTACCATGTCGAATGTCGCTACGACAAACCCCCACCGCTGTCGCAAGTTGTTGCCATGGCGCGCAAGCTTCAAGAAGCGGAGAAGACGATTGAGCGCCTTCAGGGTGGTGACCGCTCCATCAATCATCAGAACATAGGAGCTTCCATTGCCGAGAGTGTAGCGCCGGCTCCAAGCTCCTTCGCTACTGAGGATTTATCAGCACGATTGCCCATGTCATCGGGACACAACATAGAGCCTATAGTGCTGGAAACCTCGCCTGCCACACACCAAAGCCGCCTCCAAGATCCTCCTCAACCAGCCGCAACTATCGACGGCACACCGCAAGACGGTTTAGCTATAGATCTCAGCGTGGATGAACATGGCAAGATATGCTATTACGGCCCAACATCTGCTGTCCATGAGCCTCTGGGTCTCGCATCACCATCTACAAACTCAATGAGTCGTGGGGACGGATCTAAGAGGACTGATGTCCGCGCTTACCTAGTATCGCGAGCTCGAGAATCGACTATCTGGGAGGAGTTTGCTCTTGGAAATGCGTCACTCCAACTTGGGTTGCCGCGACAAATTATGGCAAAGCTTCTTCATCTGCACTGGACCTGGGTTGCTCCGATGTTTATGTGGGTGTACAGGCCGGCATTCATGCGTACGTATCTTGGACTGCTACAACACGACTCACATCTTGACTAATGTCCTGCGCCTCCAGGTGACATGACGACCGGCGGCCGTTACTACTCCGAACTTCTCCTCCTCGTGTTATGCGCTCATGCCTCGAAATACTACGACAGTAACCATGCGCAACTACTCTTCTCCCGTGTTCGATTCCTCCTCGGTGACGAGATACAAAAGCCTAGTTCTATACCCACTATCCAAGCTCTTTTGCAATTGAGTGCTCGGGAACTCGCTCAAGGATCCATCTCCCAGGCATGGCTGTATAGTGGGATGGCGTTCAGAATGTCTGCCGACCTTGGATTGCAGCATAATGGGCCCGACATAGCGGACCTCAAGGGACTAGACCCAGTAGACTTGGAGATTCGGAAGAGGTTATTCTGGAGCTGCTATTTCTGGGACAAGTGAGCGACCCATTTGAAGACTTATGCATGGTATTTGCTTACATGGACCTGCAGAGCTATCAGCCTTTACACAGGGAGACTTCCAGCAGTGACCGAGCTACCGCAAAGCCCCATTGACTTCAGTATGCGCCCCAAGCCAATTAAGCCATTCCATTCTGATATTATGTGCAGTGGATGACTCCGCAGAGTCCGATGTATGGTCACCTTACTATGAAGACACTTCACCACTTACTCGACTAGCACCGAGCCAATACCCCGTGATGAAAAGTCATGCTGTGTCATGCTTCGCAAACTCGTGTAAACTTTCTGTCATCATCAATGATATAATTGTACAGCTCTACTCAAAACGAAGCAGAGCTATAACTGAGTCGTCGCTGAATGATATCAAAACACGTCTGGAGACATGGCGTGCTGAGTCACCAGTGCATCTGCGTTATGACCCAGAGTATCTACCAACCATATGTCCGCCTCCTCATATCATCTCCCAGAAGTAAGCTCCCAACCTCCACATTGCTTAATGTTGTGTTGCTGACTTTGGATAGTCTCCTATACTTCACCACGGTCATCCTCGCCCATCGTCCATTCTGGTCAGCACCAGCTTACTATCAAGTCTGCATGAGCGCAGCACTGAGTATGGAGAAGCTCCTCCTGATGCTTGAATCAACCTTTGGATTCGAGAACATTACGTATCTTATGGGCTATTGCATCTACACTGGGGCTTCAGCTGTGCTCGAAGATGCAAAGAACAACGATGGAGCAACACATCCCACCATGCAGACCTTTCTCAGAGCCCTCAATCGTGGCATGGCCAAGTGTCCGCTTCTTGAGCGCAGCTTGCACATCATTATTAAAGGGTTGAAGCGAACTCCAGTTCAACGGTCAGCACCCGATCAATCGTTGTCCGATAACACGGTCACTGCTACCATGAATAGCTACATCCCAGCCTTCCCGTATCTTGACCCCGTAAGCCCGAATGACTTTGACATGGATGCATACTTGAATAGTATGAGCATGGATGCGATGGCGTCGTTGGATTGTTACCCAGAGCTACAGATTGATCTTGATGAAATGATGAGGCATGCACCGAATTAGGCATTGTTGAGCGGTTTTTAACGCCTGTAAGGACCTCATACGTGGCGTCCAACATGATGAGAAATGTATTCTCTTTTGAAAGAAGTATTCGCGTCGTTGAGGGTGTACGCACACTGTTATAATCCCAAGTTATACGGATGACTTGAACAAACAGCTTTTTTTGGTTCTAAAGTTGTACAGTTTACAGTGATGTTTTTAACGGTATCTCGTCAATGTCAAGGCTAGTTCTGTATACCAGTATTGGCCTCAGCTAGAGTATCCGCCTTAAGAGCTGGTCTATCGGCCTTTCCGGCAGTAGTCTGTGGCAAAGTATCAGTTGCGATCTACCTTATGGAATGAAGAATGGCTACTTACGCCTCCATCAACGGGCATGATCAGACCTGTGATCCAGCCGGCTTCCTTGCTAGCCAAGAACAAGATAGCTATACGACCTTAGTATAAGTCCTGAGGATCCAAGCGTTTGGGCTGACTTACCATAGCCAACATCCCAGCCAGTTCCCTCTTTCTTCATCAAGTTCTGGTTGATTCTTGCTTGTCTCATCTCATCTGTCATCCCGCGCCCTCTTGTCATTGGAGTAAACACCATGCCAGGCGCGACACAGTTGACGCGGATACTCTCACGACCATGATGAGCTGCCATGGCTCGTGTCATCTGGATGATGGCACCCTTGGTGGTAGGGTACAGCAAGCTCGGGTTACCGCCGAGTACTACAGCACCCTGTTAGCTTGGATACGTTGGGGATGAACTAAGGGTACTTACATCCACTAACTGATGACATGTTGACGATAGATCCACGTCCCTGCTTCCTCATCTCAGGAATTGCATATCGGCTCATCATGACCATGCTTGTGACGTTGATGCGGAAGTCTCTGTCCCAAGCATCGAGGTTTATTGTTGTGGCGTCACCCATTGCACCGCCAACGCCAACTATTTTCGCTTGTCAGTACATGTCTCTGGATTTAATTACGAAGCCAATTCAACCTACCAATATTGACAAGGATCTGAAGAGCGCCCCATAGTTCAACAGTCTTGTCGATAGCATTCTTGCATGATTCTTCACTTGTGACATCCGCCTGGATCACCTCAGAAATACCGCCCTCCTCATCAATCATGCGCTTGGTCTCCTTCGCCCAGTCCACATTGAAGTCCACGAGAGCGACCTTGGCGCCATGGCGTGCGAGGAGGATGGCAGCCGCGCGACCATTGCCAATCTCGCCTTTACAGGGGGTTAGTGTAACGGGGACAAGAATTGGGGTGTATCTTGAACTCACCATCCATGCGGGAGCCTGCGCCCGTGACGATTGCCACATCTCCAGTGAAGTCGAAGGCTCGAGGTGGTGCCATTGTGGAATAACTGAGTTGATGAAGTTGTTTTGACAAAATGTTGACTTTTACAATTGATGATTCACGTCCCAAAACTATACTACAACAAGTTCATATACCTCACGAGATTAAGCATCGAAGAATAAATATTATTCACTCTTCAGCCAAATATTGAGAGATCGTCACTCGCCGCGGCCAATTGCCACTCTCTACCCATCCAGCTTCCGGGCACTGGGCGCGGGCAATCACCGAAACCCCCGGTTTCTGCGCTATTGAATACACCGTCACGAGGGCCACGGTGTGCGGGGAAATAATGGGGATGCCCAAACTCGGGCTTCCACTGGAATCTCACCTGTCAATTGAGACCAGTCTCAATTCCATACTCGCCAAGCCTATCGGCTCTGCGGCTCTTAGTGGCCTGCAGTAGGATGGTCTGATCACCAGACTGAGACACCACGGCATTGGCATGAATCCTTCTCATGGCACTCGCTGGTCGTCACTGTGTTTAGCACACCAATTCGTTGGTCGTTGGAATCGGTGCAACAGGCCAAGCTGTATCGACTATAATTGTTATGCTAGCTAGGCGCCAAAGGATCGACTAGGCGAGAGGCCGCAAATCCCTTACCATTAAGTGAACGGGCAGATTGTAGGTAGCCACTACTGAACAGTAGGGGGACAGTTCTTGTGCAATACGTTCTTTGAACAACTTCAACACAGGAGAGATGACATGAGCCTAAATCGCCAATTGGATCTCGAGTGATGATATACAAGTCGACAAAGAATCTAATTTATAGCCCATCTTTCATCTAACCGTCTTACAAAAGCTATTGCGACAACCAATAATCGAACCATGCCACGATACCTGCCAGGCTCTGTTCCTTTACCCATCCTATTTCGTGTCAGCGGGTCTCAAGGTACGCCTCAAACA